GTTGCTCTTCCGGTGAGTAGTGTGGCGGTGACTCGGTGATGCAGGAGTCACTCAGCTTTGCCATGCAGTTGACGATGTTTCTTGCTCCTTGTGCAGGTTGTCCTGTTGAGGTCGTTGAAGCTTGAATCTGAGCCGTGGGATTTGCTTGCGTTGAGGCGATTTGGCTGCTTGAAGGTCGAAGTTGCCGCTGTGGAGTTGTTGACTGTTGACGATTCGGGCAGTGCGTGCGCGGGTGTCCTGAAGTTTTGCAGATGTGGCAGAACGGAGGTACTGGCTTCGGTTGTTGCTGCCGGTTGTTGTTGTTGTTGTAGCGTCGCTGAGTGTGGAACGCGAATTCCGGTGCTGATGTTTTCTTTTTGTGTCGTTCTTCTTGCAGGTCCATGTCTTGCTGCTCGGCGTGGATTTCGGCGCAGAGCGCTGCTTCGGAGATTCTTCCGTGAGCTCGAAGAATGGCCTTTGTGGCGCGCCATTGAGGACCGAGGCCGCCGATGATGACTGTCACGAAGGCGTCTTCAGAGATCGATCCTCCGCATCGAAGGAGCTTGTCGCGCAACTCGCGACATCGGCTGATATACGCCATTCCTTTCTCCCCTGGTTTCATTTCAACTGTTGTCAGTTGCGCCATTAACCGACTTTGGCTTACGCTGTCTGTTGCTTGATACAGGCTCTTCAGGTGGTTGTACGCGAGCTCCGCGGAGTTGCCGTAACCTCGGTAAGACCTTATGTTCTGCTGTTGAGTCGGGGTGATATTCCTCAGTAGGATCGTGTACGCCATCATTGACTGATAGGTGTATTGCTGCTTCTCGTACTGAGTGCCGTTTGTTGGGTATGGCAGAGACCCGTCGAAGAACCCGAGTATCTGCGCGCCTTCCATCATCAGCTCGAACTCAAACGACCAGGTGAAGAAGTCATTTCCATCAAAGGGTCTTGACGTCTGCATCTTCAGAACGTGTGCGAACTGCGACTGAACTTGTAATGCGTCCAGTGGTTTTTCTTGTCCAGGTGAGGGCTGTGGGTGTGGCATGAAGCTGATGGACCCGCGCTCGTACGGAGCAAAGGTGGGCTGCTGTTGCTGATTTCCTCGTGCATATGATGAGCCGTCGAGACTCATGGGTGTTGCTCCGTTGTTGTTGCTGTTGTGTGACTGCGCAGGTGCCAATTGCTGGTGTTGCTCGTAGAAGGACATGAAGGAGAAGAACTTCTCCATCATGCTCTGGTCGAAGTCTGCAGGTTGATTTGCGGGAGTCTCGGTAGATGTTGCTCTGGGTCTTGTTGCCGTGCCCTCCTCTGTCTGTAGGCCAGAGGCAGGAGGTGGAGTAGGAGTAGTGCCCTGGGAGCCGTTGGAGTTGCTCCTTTCCTTTTGTGTAGCCATGGTGATTGATGTTGTCGGTATAGTAGTTGAATTCTCCCGGATTGCTCTCATACCATGTTGGGCTGAAAAGGCCCTTAGGATCTTTGCAGGGGTGAACTCTGGGTAGAGTTGGTGTAGTAGCGGAAGCGTTAATTAAAGAGTTGTGAACCACCTTGCGCTAGTATGTGAGGGCAAAGTAAGTTGATTAAAACAAAGAGATACAAGATTATATAAGAGTACAAGGAATATGAAAGGATACGGTTATAACTGTTTTACTTGTTGCTGTTGCGGTTCGATACAGTGACGACTCGGGCAACTGCTCTGTAGCGAGTCAGTTGTGTGTCCTTGCTGTCGCGCTGTACTTGTCAGGTCAAAGGTCGCTGACCTTTGACTTTCGCGTAACCTCCAGCGGTTACTTCAACCTCCGAGGGTTGACTCGCTGGTGCCTCGATATGCTTTGCTTCGTTTGTGCCTTAGTGTTTCGACACGACAGAAGCGCTTAGGACCGATTGTTTCCAACAAGAACCAGGCACTGGTGCTTTAGTTGCTCTGTTAGTTAGTGCCATCTTTAATATGTAATCCACGCTTAAGTCTAAACATGAAAGGGTGAAAACAATGTGCACACTGATGAGCAAGAGTACCTTTCCAGCTGACACTGAGAAAAAAGACTGACATGGCTGACCCACCCTTACTGAAAGACCAACTTTAGCGAACTGGCCTTGCGAGTAAGAGTGCCCCAAATCCTATCCAGAGGCCTGAAGGGCGCCCTAAAATACAACTCTGTAAAATCAGGGTGAATACCTAAACCCACCCTTATAGTAAGGGCCATAAGGGTGATTTACCCTGATATCAAGAGGCCTGGTCTGTGCATGCATGGGAGCAGCAAGCAACAGAGGCGATCAAACAGGAGTACCGCTTCAAATGCCCTGAGCTGCTCAAACCTCTAGTGGAGCCGGCTTTGTCAGAATCCCAACCACTAGACCATTGGGATAAAAGGGCTTGTTTCAGTAGCGGGTCAGTGCGCCCATAACCGCCTGTAACCCCCCCTAGGATCGATCGGGGATCTCACAGTGTAGCTCTACTGACACCCCCCCACACTGGGAGGCCCAGGACTGAGCACAGTGGCAATGGCCAACATGTGCATACACCGGGATTCGAACCCGAGACCGCTCTGATACCATGTCAGAATCCCAACCACTAGACCATTGGGATAAAAGGGCTTGTTTCAGTAGCGGGTCAGTGCGCCCATAACCCCCCAGGCAAACGCGCCTGTAACCCCCCCTAGGATCGATCGGGGATCTCACAGTGTAGCTCTACTGACAGGCTTTAGCGAAGCTTGTATCATGATGACGTGTCATGCCATAGGAGTGAATGGTGCTGGAAGCTGCTAGTGTCTGTGGTGGTGCCTCAATCAAGACACAGCAGGGTGCTAGGTGCTAGACGCATGAACTGCTAGGTGCTGCTGCAACTCATTCAACCTGGTGACTGTGAAAACGCTGCCTTTGGCAACTTGTATGAGCAGTGCGCTTCATTTCAGTGGGTTTGCGTACATTAATCTTGTCCAACAGCAATTTCAGCTAAACTAGAGAAAAAAAAACTGAATGGATAGGTGAAAAGGGGTGTGAAATGGAAACTCTTGAAATTTATAAAAGACTGGGTCAGGCCCACTGGCTTGATTGAATCCAATAAGACAAAACTTAGCTGATTCACTGTACCCTCTTTAATAAACTTAGAATAATAAACCCAAAGTTCACTACGAGGTTGGATCTCGAGCCGAGTTTCTTCACCTCGCGCGCTGCCCCTCGCCAACATTATTTGAGCCCAAACCTGCTTCGTGTTTGCCTTACCCACCTCCCGAACCGAAACCGCGTCTGCTCCGAACCACAACCAATGATCTTTTCGTAAGCTTCGGCAGAGCCTAGGCACTTAGATTTGGGAACCAAACTGGGTCAAACGGTCGTCCATAATTGTACGCAGCACGGTTCCAAAGCAATGCGCCGCATTACACAGCGTAGCACCGCATATCACCGCCTGGCGTCGCACAAAACAAGCCGACCGAGCATCAAGCCTGAAGTCATCACACTCACCGCAGCGCAGTCCACGGGTGTTAGCGGACGCGTCACAGCATTGCATCATCGAGCAATGGCGCACCTTGGGCTGCATCTGTGCCGCGTTATGGACCCTTCACTTCGTGCCAGGAGGCACGACGCAGCACTAGGGTTGTTTCTCGTAATATACTTGCATGCAATCCGGGACGTCAGATCGCCGTTATTGGTACTATACCCGCAGGGCGAGCTCTGGATCAGATTCGATATAGTCACGGGAAGTGGTAGGAAGGAGAGCGGGTGCTACAGTGCCTCACCTGCCCTCGGTTTAGCGCTAGTACCTCGTTCGTATGGAATTTAGAAATGCGATTTACCGTCGCAGTGACCTACGTCGGCGGGAGCCGTCGTCGAATCACACGCGCGCGCGCCGCCGCCGCGCAACCTGCGCTCTGTGGCCGACAGCTCGCGTCGAGGAACTTGCACAGGGCGCGTCGTGGCAGCACCTCCCCGTCGTCATCCGCAGCACCCCTTCGCTCCAATCGCGCCGCGAGCGCCTCGAGCTCCTCGCGCGCCTTGCGCTCGTCGCGCTTCTTGCGCTGCCGCTGTGCCCACATTGCCGCGGCTCCCCAGCGCCGCCAGGAGCGCCCCCCCCGGCGGCGCCGCCAGCGGTAGTAGTGGCGCCACCGCCAGTCACCCCCGACACTCGAGGTACTGCTGGGAGAGGAGGGGGGGTATAGGGGGGAAATGTGGTGGTTTGGCTGCAGTGCCTGGCAGTCGCGGCAGTCAACGACCATCGAAGGTGTGGACGGAGGAAGTTGGGCGGCAGTGGGCGGCAGTGGGCAACAGTAGGCGGCGGCGGGTGGCAGTGAGCAAGTCAGGGAATGGGAGGGAGTGGCTGAATGGTAGGGAGGGTTTGGGAGGGAGGGAATGGGAGGGAGGGAATGGGAGGGAGGGAACGAGAGGGAGGGAATGGGAGGGAGGAAATGGGAGGGAGGGAATGGGAGGGAGGGAATGGGAGGGAGGGAATAGGAGGGAGGGAATGGGAGGGAAAGGGAGGGAGGGAATGGGAGGAAGGGAATAGGAGGGAGGGAATGGGAGGGAAAGGAAGGGAGGGAATGGGAGGAGGGAATGGGAGGGGAGAATGAGAGGGAGGGAATGGGGGGAGGGAGGGAATTGGAGGGAGGGAATGGGAGGGAGGGAATGGGAGGGAGGGAATGGGAGGAAGGGAATGGGAGGGAGGGAATGTGAGGGAGGGAATGGGAGGGAGGAAATGGGAGGGAGGGAAAGCGATATTGGGATGGGGGGCGTCAGTTATCAGCGTGTGTGGCTTCACCCGTCTTGGACAAGGACCGAGTGCCGCCCTGCAATCCCCTCCGCCCTGCAATCCCCTCCGCCCTGCAATCCCCTCCGCCCTGCAATCCCCTCCGCCCTGCAATCCCCTCCGCCCTTCAACCCCCTTGCACTTGATGCCCGCACTTCCCCCCCCTCTCTCCGCACCCTCCCCCTCCCCCCCCCCCCCCCACCCCCTCTCCCCTCCCGCTCTTTTTCTTCCCCCTTCCGCCCCCCACCCTGTGCTGGCGCGCCTGGTGCAGGGCTGGCAGCTTATGAGGCATGGGCATGGGCACTGTCATACCCCTCCCCCCCCCACCCCCTCCTCCTCCCTCCCCCGCTCGTCCCCTTCCGCCCCCTACCCTGTGCTGGCGCGCCTGGTGGTTGCAGGGCTGGCAGCTCGCGAGGGATGGGTTCTGCCATATCCCTCCTCCTCCCTCCCCCGCCCGTCCCCCTCCGCCCCCCACGCAGCGCTAGCAGGCCTGGTGCATTTCTGGCATATTGGGGGGGGTGACTTCACGCGGTGGACGAACGTGAGCGACGTGTGCACGCTCAACGACCCGCGCATCACATGCAACAACACGGCTGTTGTCGCCCTGTGCGTGCATGCCCTGCCCTGCCCCGCCCTGCCCCTCCCTGCCCTGCTGTAATGCCTGTGGGCTGTGTTAATGGGCATTATGCTGTGCCAAATAACTTCCTCTTTTCAATTTGACCCAGTGGGTAGCGAGATCAGAGCCTAGTGTTCAAATCCCTGCTGGTCCACATTTTCCGCCCGTGGCGAGAATTGAAATGTGGTTCCCAGACATGAACCCAGGAAACGATCCTCTGCTGTCCTGACCTGAGCAACCAGCGAAGTCGCAGCTAGCAGCACTGCTAACTCTAGGTCCCTGCAGGAGGGGCCGACTCCCTGAAGTAGAGAGCCAACGGGGACGTTGGCGCCAGGGGGGGACGAGTGTAACGCCTGTGGGCTGTGATAATGGGCATTCCGCTGCACCAAATAACGCCCTCGTTTTGACCCAGTGGGTAGCGAGGTGTTACACCCGCCCTGCCCCGCCCTGCTCCGCCCTGCCCCGCACTGCACTGCCCTGCCCTTCCCTGCCCTGCCCTGCCCTGCCCTGCCCTGCCTTGCCCTGCCCTGGCCGCACATTCACTCTCTCTCTTTCCCTTGCATGCACACATGCGACACTCACTTTCATGCGACACTCACTTTCATGCGACACTCACTTTCATGCGACACTCACTTTCATGCGATACTCACTTTCATGCGACACTCACTCTCATGCGACACTCACTTTCATGCGACACTCACTTTCATGCGACACTCACTTTCATGCGACACTCACTTTCATGCGATACTCACTTTCATGCGACACTCACTCTCATGCGACACTCACTTTCATGCGACACTCACTTTCATGCGACACTCACTTTCATGCGATACTCACTTTCATGCGACACTCACTCTCATGCGACACTCACTTTCATGCGACACTCACTTTCATGCGACACTCACTTTCATGCGACACTCACTTTCATGCGATACTCACTTTCATGCGACACTCACTCTCATGCGACACTCACTTTCATGCGACACTCACTTTCATGCGACACTCACTTTCATGCGACACTCACTTTCATGCGACACTCACTTTCATGCGACACTCACTTTCATGCGACACTCACTTTCATGCGACACTCACTTTCATGCGACCCTCACTCTCATACGACACCACAGAGAGTGAGCATATTCACAGAACTGTACCCCCTGTGCTGCCACCCCTTGTGCTGCCACCCCTTGTGCTGCCACCCCTTGTGCTGCCACCCCTTGTGCTGCCACCCCTTGTGCTCCCAGGAGGCTGTCGCAGGCCAACATTCTGGGCGAGATGCCAGATGTCATCGTCAATCTCACCTCCCTCACCGCTCTGTACGCCTCCACACCGCACGCCCCCTGGGACTCTCATTCCTCCCTCCTTTGCATGCCTCCATGCCGTTCCCTTTATGTCCTCCACTCTCTTACTCTCCGCACCCCCATCGTTCTCCACACCCCCCTCAATTTCCGCACTTTATACTCCCTTGCTGACCTGCACTTGTCTTACACATGTACCGCTTTCCCCTCCGCCCATGCACCGTCCCCTCAACCCATGCACCGTCCCCTCCGCCCATGCACCGTCCCCTCCACCCATGCACCGTCCCCTCACCATTCTCGTCAGAGCCACCTTGAAACACCAAGCTCCCTCACTCCGCTCTCTCTCGCCCTCCTCCGCCCTCCTCCGCCCTCATCCACTCCACCCCCCCCCCCTCCCCCCTTTCCTCCCAGCTATCTGGACAGCAACCGGTTTTACGGCTCTCTGCCTGCGTCCCTCAGCCGCCTCACCAATCTCCAACACCTGTGAGGCCCACTTGGCCCTCGAAACACCCGCAAGCACGGATGCGCGTGTGACTCCCACGTGCGCACTACACTGCAGTAGAGTGCACTTTACTCCCACGCGCACACTACAATAAAGTCACACTTGGCCGCACATACGCACATACAGAGCTAGTAAGCACAACCAACCGTACCATATAACCATGTACCCCTTGTGTTGCTTGTGCCGCTTGTGCCAATTTTGCTGCTTGTGTTGCTTGTGCTGCTTGTGCTGCCTTTGTTGCTTGTGCTGCTTGTGCTGCTTGTGCTGCTTGTGCTGCTTGTGCTGCTTGTGCTGCTGTGCTGCTTGTGCTGCTGTGCTGCTTGTGCTGCGTGTGCTGCGTGTGCTGCTGTGCTGCGTGTGCTGCGTGTGCTGCGTGTGCTGCGTGTGCTGCGTGTGCTGCCAGGGATCTCTCACAGTGCGAGCTCACAATGGTGCTGCCAGATGTCATCGGCAATCTCACCGCCCTCGTCTCCCTGTATGCCGTCACTCCCTGCATTCTCCACACTCCTTTCATTCTTCACTCCTTTCATCCTTCACTCCTTTCATTCTCCACACTCCCTTTTTTTTCTCCACACTCCCTTCATTCCCCACACTCACTTCATTCTCCACACCCCTTTCATTCTCCACACTCCCTTAATTCTCCACACTCCCTTTGATCTTCACACTCCCATTAATCCTCACACTCCCTTCATTTCCCTCACTCCCTTCACACTCCACATTTCCTTCATTCTCCACACTCCTTTCAATCTTCACACACCCCCTTCGTTTCCCACACTCCCTTCACACACTCTACATTCTCCACATTTCCTTAGTTCTTCAAGCTCCCTTCATTCTCCACACTCCCTTCATTCTCCTCCTCCCTGCTCCGCCCTGCTCCTCGCTGCCAGAGAGCTGGACATGAACAACTTCCAAGGCCCTCTGCCTGACTCTCTCAGCCGCCTCACCAACCTCCAAACCCTGTGAGCGGCTCACATGGGCAACGAGCGAACCGAACACGCTTGAATCGAACAGTTTTCAAACACTTGGTCAAGTCGAACCGAACCGAACACGTTCGACTCGAACAATTTTCCTAAATGGTAGTGTCTCTGTTCGAGTATAGGGTCGAACAGTTGTGAGGCAAGGTCGAACAGTTGTGAGGCAAGGTCGAACAGTTGTGAGGCAAGGTCGAACAGTTGTGAGGCAAGGTCGAACAGTTGTGAGGCAAGGTCGAACCGTTGTGAGGCAAGGTCGAACAGTTGTGAGGCAAGGTCGAACAGTTGTGAGGCAAGGTCGAACAGTTGTGAGGCAAGGTCGAACAGTTGTGAGGCAAGGTCGAACAGTTGTGAGGCAAGATCGAACACTAACGTGTTTGACCTGAACTCGAACAGTTTGCTTTCGGGGATACTTTCAGTATAGTCACATTCAGGGTACGTACAAATCCGGGCGCATGTACTACAAGCAATATCACAATGTCATGAAAGATAAGAGCGAAGATCAACAATGCTGCGTGTCAAACATTATATGTTTATATTGTGTAGGCTATAGTGGGTTTAGCCTTAGGGGGTACAGCTTTGTTAGGGTTTCCTACTTGTATCCCCCTCCTACCTAGTTTCATGCATTCTCGTTCTATTCTAGATTCTAACATGGTATCACGAGCCTAGGTTGCTACCTAGGACCGCTTTCTACTATGGGCCCACTATTCCGCTAGAAGCGCCCTCGTGCGCCCTACCTTACGTGCGCCCTCGTGCGCCTTTCTCTGCTAGTGCGCCTTCGTGCGCCCTCGTGCGCCCTCGTGCGCCCTCGTGCGCCCTCGTGCGCCTTCGTGCGCCTTCGTGCGCCCTCGTGCGCCCTCGTGCGCCTTCGTGCGCCCTCGTGCGCCCTCGTGCGCCCTCGTGCGCCCTCGCGCGCCCTCGTGCGCCCTCGTGCGCCCTCGTGCGCCCTCGAGCGCCCTCGTGCGCCCTCGAGCCGCCCCTGCAGGTCCGTCAGGCCCCCGAGCCGCCTCTGCAGACCCGTCAGGTCCCCCCCGAGCCGCCTCTGCAGGCCCGTCAGGCCCGAGAGCCGCCCCTGCAGACTCGTCAGGCCCGCGCGCAGCCTCTGCCCGACCGCGCGCCGCCCCTGCAGGCTCTCGCCGCCCGCCGCGTCGCCCTGCCCGCGGCGTCGCCGCCTGCCCGCGGCGTCGTCACCTGCCCGCGACGTAGCCCCTGCCCGCGGCGTCGTCGCCTGCCCGCGGCGTCGTCGTCTGCCTGCGGCGTCGTCGCCTGCCCGCGGCGTCGTCGCCTGCCCGCGGCGTCGTCGCCTGCGCGCGGCGTCGTCACCTGCTCGCCGCGTCGCCCTGCCCGCGGCGTCGCCACCTGCTCGCGGCGTCGCCCTGCTCGCGGCGTCGTCACCTGCTCGCCGCGTCGCCCTGCCCGCCGCGTCGCCCTGCTCGCGGCGTCGTCACCTGCTCGCCGCGTCGCCCTGCCCGCGGCGTCGTCACCTGCCCGCCGCGTCGCCCTGCCCGCGGCGTTGCCACCTGCCCGCCGCGTCGCCCTGCTCGCCGCGTCGCCCTGACCTAATCCGCGCCTGGCCTCTGGAGCAGCCGCCCCTGCAGCAGCCGCCCCTGGCCACTGGAGCAGCCGCCACTGCAGGAGCCGCCCCTCGCCCCTGGAGCAGCCGCCCCTGCAGCAGCCGCCCCTGGCCCCTGGAGCAACCACCGCTGCAGCAGCCGCCCCTGGCCCCTGGAGCAGCCGCCACTGCAGCAGCCGCCCCTGGCACCTGGAGCAGCTGCCGTCGCGGCCCGGCCTCGCCCTGCAGCAGCTGCCGCGGAGCTCCCTGCTGCGGCCCGGCCCCGCCCTGCAGTTGTAGCGGCCCCGCTGTCGCCACCGTCTTGCGCCTGCCGCGCCGACCACTGGTGAGCATTGCCCTGCCAGCACTGCTACCGCTGCTACTGCTGCTACTGCCTTTTCTACTCCCACTGCTACTGCTCCTGCTGTTACTGCTGTTACTGCCGCTACTGCTGCTACTGCTGCTCCTGGCGTGGCCAGATGCAGCTCCAGGGCCGTGCGCGTGAGTCCCTCACGCCCCAGCAGCTTCGTGAGTGGTACGCTAGTTGGGGCTGTCGGGGTGGCCGTAGTGGTAGTCGCTCTGGAGTGGGTCGGTCGGGAGCTTCTGGTAGTGGACAGGTGCAGCTGCCGTGTCCTCTTTCGCCCCAGCAGCTTCGTGCGTGGTACGCTAGTTGGGGCTGTCGGGGTGGCCGTAGTGGTAGTCGCTCTGGAGTGGGTCGGTTGGGAGCTTCTGGTAGTGGACAGGTGCAGCTGCCGTGTCCTCTTTCGCCCCAGCAGCTTCGTGAGTGGTACGCTAGTTGGGGCTGTCGGGGTGGCCGTAGTGGCAGTCGCTCTGGAGTGCGTCGTTCGGGAGCTTCTGGTAGTGGACAGGTGCAGCTGCCGTGTCCTGTGAGTGAGGCTGCCGCTCTAGGTGCTAGTGCGTCTGTTGCCCTAAGTGCTGGTGAGGCTGCTGCTCTAGGTGCTAGTGAGTCTGCGCCCCCTGGTACTGAGTCGACTGAGGCACTGCACACCTTCACTCTGGACTCAGGTGCTTCTCGCTGTTTCTTTCGTGACCGCACTGCCCTTGAGCCGCTTGCTCGGCCAGTTGCTGTCTCCCTCGCTGACCCCTCTGGGGGTCCGGTCATTGCGACCTCCTCCACTGTCTTTCCTTGTCCTGCGGTCCCGTCGGGCACACTGTCAGGTCTCCACCTCCCCTCGTTCTCTACGAACTTGGTGGCGGGTTGTGCGCTCCAGGACGGGGGTGTTCACCAGTTCACCCCTGCCTACGAGCGCGTGACACACTGCACGTGTGCTCGGACGGGCCGTCACCTGGCTACCTTCACTCGGCAGCCGGGGTCGGACCTGTACACACTGACCACTGAGTCCCCTCAGGTAGCTGCGTCTGCGTCTGCGTCAGGTCAGCTGTCGGCCCCCTGCTCGTGTCGCTCTCTGGCGCACGAGACCGTCCTCTGGCACCACCGACTTGGTCACCCGTCCGTGCAGCGCCTTCGTGCCATGCACAAACGGTACCTTGTCTCTGGTCTTCCCAGGGTTCTCCCTCCCCTCCCACCCTCGCCTGCTCCTCCCTGTCTTCCCTGTGTCGAGGGGCGGCAGCGTGCCGCTCCTCACTCCTCCTCGTTTCCCCCGACGACTGCTCCCTTGCAGACGCTCCACATGGACGTGTGGGGCCCAGCCCGCGTCCGTGGTCAGGGTCAGGAGAGGTACTTCCTGATAGTTGTTGACGACTACTCGCGCTACACCACGGTCTTCCCCTTGCGCACCAAGGGTGAGGTCCCTGATGTTTTGATCCCTTGGATCAGCGCTTCTCGTCTCCAGCTCAGCGAGCGTTTCCACTCGGACTTTCCTGTCCTGCGCTTGCACTCTGACAGAGGTGGTGAGTTCTCCTCCGACCTCTTGGCAGCCTACTGTGCGGAGCACGGCATCCGCCAGTCGTTCACGCTTCCGGCCTCTCCACAGCAGAATGGGGTTGCTGAGCGCCACATTGGCTTGGTCATGGAGGTCGCTCGTACCTCCTTGATCCATGCGGCTGCCCCCCACTTTCTGTGGCCGTTTGCAGTCCGATACGCTGCGCATCAGCTCAACCTCTGGCCCCGTGTCTCCGTTCCGGAGACTTCGCCGACACTGCGTTGGACAGGAGAGGTTGGCGATGCGTCACGCTTTCGGGTCTGGGGATCTCGAGCCTTTGTTCGCGATACGTCCGCAGACAAGCTCTCCTCCCGCGCTGTTCCTTGTGTCTTCCTTGGCTTTGTCCCGGACGCGTCTGGTTGGCAGTTTTACCACCCCACCTCGCGCCGTGTCCTGCCTTCTCAGGACGTCACTTTCGACGAGTCCGTCCCCTACTACCGCCTCTTCCCCTACCGCACTGCCCCGCTTCCCCCCCCGCCTGTCTTCCTCGCGCCAGGTGCTGCTGTGGTAGACCCCCTCCCCCCTCAGGGTGCCGCTCCCTCAGGTGTGTCCCAGGTAGACCCGGTTGAGCCTGTCGAGGTAGCTGTCGACTCTCGTCCTGCTAGGGGTGCTGAGCCTGAGGGTGCTGAGCCTGAGCGTGCGGAGCCTGGGGGTGCGGAGCCTGGGGGTGCGGAGCCTGGGGTTGCGGAGTCTGGGGGTGCGGAGCCTGGGGTTGCGGAGTCTGGGGGTGCTGAGCCTGGGGGTGCGGAGCCTGGGGGTGCTGAGCCTGCGGGTGCTGAGTCTGGGGGTGCTGAGTCTGGAGGTGCTGAGCCTGGGAGTGCTACACCTGGAGGAGCTCTCTCCTCACAGCAGCTGCGTGAGTGGTACTTACAGTACTGCAGCCTCAAGAGAGGTGCTTCTGGAGCCAGGAGTACTGCTGGAGCTGGTGCTAGTGCTTCCCCTCCTAGGCGGGAGCTGCCCTCTCCCCAGCGGCTCCGAGAGTGGTACGCACGGCGCTGCAGTCTTCGGAGTGGCGCTCCTAGTGTCGCGGACCCAGCTGCTGGAGGTTCTGCTGCTGGCGGTGCTTCTGGCGCTGCTGGAGGTACTGCTGGTGCTGGAGCTGCTGGTGCTGCTGACGCTACTGGAGGTGCTGCTGGTGCTGGTGGTACTGCTGGTGCTGCTGGAGCTGCTGGAGGTGCTGCTGGTGCTGGGGCTGCTGGAGCTGCTGGAGGTGCTGCTTCTTCTGGAGGTGCGGCTGGTGCTGCGGACCCGGGCGTTGGAGTTGCTGCTGGTGCTGCGGACCCTGGAGTCGGAGCTGCTGCTGGTGCTGCGGACCCTGGAGTTGGAGCTGCTGCTGGTGCTGAGGACCCTGGAGGTCGAGCTGCTGCTGGTGCTGAGGACCCTGGCGCTGGTGTCTCTGCTGGTTCTGGAGACGCTGCGCGGCCGCGGCCGTACTTCGTTCCGCTCCTTCAGCAGGTTCTTGGTCAGCCTCCTCCTCCTTGTCCTCCTCCCTCCTAAGAGTGTCCTCCGTCTGTCCAGTCGCAGCCACAGTTACCGTCTGCCTCCCCTCTCCCTGGTCCTTCTCCTTACACTGGTCCGACTGGAGGTCTTACGGAGCGTCGTGAGCCTGAGTCTCGTCCTGCCTCGCCTGAGTCTCGTCGAGCGTCGCCTGTTCGTGCTGCTCACACTGGTCGTCGTGTCCCGCGTCAGCGTCCTCCTGCTGTCCCAGGCACTCACCAGATGGCGCTTCGTCCTTCCACTGCTCCCCAGCGTGTCCCTCTCCCGTCTCCTCCTGCGTCCTCTCTTCCTGCTCTTGCTGACCCTGAGTCTGACTCCCTTCGTGCTGCCAGTCCTACTGTCACGCGTCTCCTGGCTACTGTTGTCACTGACCCTTCCTTTGAGTCCACTGCTGCGTCTGCCTTAGTTGCCGAGCTTGTCGACTTTGCTGCCACTTGTCGTCTAGACTACGCCGCTAGCCTAGTTGCTGAGTCTGAGTCTGTCTGTCCTCCGTCCGTCGGGGGTGAGTGTGCTCTTGGTACGGACGTCCTTGAGGACAGGCAGGAGGAGTTTGAGTGCTTTGCCGCTGCTTTACCTCATCTCGTGTCCATGCTAGTTGCCCCCTGAGGGAGACCCGGATGCACCAGACATCCCGACTCCGCGCTCTTACGCAGAGGCGATAGAGGGTCCCTACTCCTCTCAGTGGCAGACAGCCATGGACGCAGAGATGGCTTCCTGGAAGTCCACAGGCACCTACGTCGACGAGGTTCCCCCACCTGGGGCGAACATCGTCAGTGGCATGTGGATTTTCAGGGTGAAGCGGCCGCCGGGTTCTCCGCCTGTCTTCAAGGCGCGTTACGTTGCACGAGGCTTCAGTCAGCGAGAGGGAGTTGACTTCTTCCAGACCTTCTCCCCGACCCCGAAGATGACCACTCTTCGGGTTCTGCTGCACGTCGCCGCTCAGCGTGACTACGAGCTCCACTCTCTTGACTTCAGCACTGCTTTCCTACAGGGCAGCCTGCACGAGGAGATCTGGCTGCGCCGCCCACCTGGCTTCACTGGGTCGTTCCCTCCTGGTACCCAGTGGAGCCTCCGGCGGCCAGTCTACGGTCTCCGACAGGCGCCACGTGAGTGGCACGACACACTGAGGACTACACTTGCGGCTCTTGGGTTCGCTCCTTCTACTGCTGACCCGTCGCTGTTTCTACGCACCGACACCTAGCTGCCGCCGTTCTACATCCTCGTGTACGTCGACGACTTGGTCTTTGCCACTGCTGACACTGCGGCACTCGCCCACGTGAAGTCGGAGCTGCAGAAGAGACACACGTGCACAGACCTGGGTGAACTGACAAGCTATCTTGGCTTGCGGATCACCCGGGACAGAGCACGACGCACCATCACCTTGACTCAGTCACACATGGTGCAGCAGGTCCTTCAGCGCTTCCGCTTCACGTACTCCTCGCCTCAGCCCACTCCTCTGCCTACCGGTCACTCGCTCTCAGCTCTGCCTTCGGATGAGTCCGTAGAGCCGAGTGGCCCGTATCCAGAGCTTGTGGGCTGCCTCATGTACCTGATGACCTGCACTCGACCTGACCTTGCATACCCTCTTAGCATCCTTGCACGCTATGTCGCTCCTGGCCGTCACCGGAAGGAGCACATGGATGCCGCTAAGAGGGTGTTGCGCTACTTGTGCAGTACGTCGGGCATGGGGCTAGTGCTTGGAGGACGAGACCGAGTTGTACTCACTGGGCACTCAGACGCGTCTTGGGCTGACGACCAGGCTACTCAGCGGTCGTCTCAGGGTTACACCTTCAGCCTTGGCTCTGGTTCAGTTTCTTGGCGTTCTACACGCTCGTCTTCTGTTCTCAGCTCCAGTTATGAGGCTGAGATCTACGCCACAGCCATGGCTGCACAGGAGTTACGCTGGCTCACCTACCTGCTGACCGACTTGGGAGAGAGGCCTCGTTCTCCTCCAGTGCTGTACGTTGACAACAAGGCCGCCATTGCCTTGTGTGAGGAGCACAGACTGGAGCACAGAACGAAGCATATCGCTCTGCGCTACTTCCTTGCTCGAGAGCTGCAGCAGCGCGGTCAGCTTCGTCTGCGTTACGTGGCCACTCGGGCCAACACTGCTGATGTGTTCACCAAGGCGCTTCAGCCTTGTGACCATCAGCGCTTCTGTACTGTTCTAGGCCTCGTGCCTACTGGGCCTCACTTACTTACTTCTTGACTCTGCTTGTACTGTGATCTCTGTATATATACCTGCTTGTTTACTCTTGCTAGGTTGTGATCACTGTATCTCTTGTTATACTATCAACCTGCATGTGAACTGGTCTTGTGACCACTTGCTTGTGCTCAGAATTTGTGTGGTTTCCTTGAGATCCACCCTGAGCTTGCTTTGCTTTGTTTTGACTGGTCTTGTGACCATCTGGTTGTCTCCCACTTAGCCTATGGGGCTGTGTCAAACATTATATGTTTATATTGTGTAGGCTATAGTGGGTTTAGCCTTAGGGGGTACAGCTTTGTTAGGGTTTCCTACTTGTATCCCCCTCCTACCTAGTTTCATGCATTCTCGTTCTATTCTAGATTCTAACACTGCGCACTCAAGCCCTCACTGTGAGCCTCCCTTGCCCTTCCTGTGAGCCTCACTTGCTCTTCCTGTGATCCCCACTTGCCCTTTCTGTGATCCCTGCTTGCGAAATCACACTCCTGTATGCATTTACGGCGACTGCTCTTGCCTTTTACCCACCCCTGAATCCTGTGAGCTTGTGAACATGCGCTCTGCTTTATTTAAACCACACCCTGTACTGTAAGAAACTGTGTAAGGGAATCTACATTGGCTTCTATATAGATTCCCTTACACAGCCTCTTACAGTACAGGATGCGATTTACATACCACCTGCCTGCTACAGTACAGGGTGTGGTTTATTCAAAGCAGAGCACATGTTCAGCAGCTGACAGGATTCAGGAGTTTATTCTCCCACCAGCCTGCCTCACTGTGCTCCTTGGTTTCTCTAATCATGCCACCACCATTCACTCCCTTCACCATCTTGCCATCTCCTCTTCAACGATTTCGCACATAAAATGAAGGAAAAGGAAGCCACGTGGTGGAAAGTGAAGCACGAGTATAGGAGTATGAGGAGGAAGCAGCCGAGGAGGGATGGGATTTTTTTCACATGCATGTTGATATTCTCGTCTCTGCGTTCATGCATGGATGTGTCTACGCGTGTTTGGAGAGGTGGGGATGTTTCGTGTGTGTGTGTGTGTGTGTGCGCGTGTGTGCATGGGTGTGTGCGTGTGTGCATGTGCATGTGTGTGTGTGTGTGTGTATGTGTGTGTGTGTGCATGTGTGTGTGCTTGGGTGCATGTGTGCATGCGTGCATGCATGTGTACCACAAATCAACAGCCGATTAGGTAACAACAGATTCTCTGGTTCCCTTCCGTCCAGTCTGACAGCTCTCACAGCACTCAAACAGTTGTAAGTCTTTCTAGAAACTGTTTGTCTGCCCCTTTTTGGCCCCGAGACACCATCATACTCCTTTAGTCACCACCTGCCATGCCATGTGTTCCGCATACATGAGTCAAGCAAATGCCCACGTGTGTGTATTACGGAAGAGCCTTCCCTTGCCGTCAAAGAGGCATTGCTAGAGCTTGCTCCTGGTATAAGTTGCTCTTCATTCGAGTCTTGCGCCTGATTTATTTCTTCCCCTCCTGCTTCTTACTTCTGCTCCGCCACATGCCTTGCACGGTCTCCCTGCATTCATGCTTGTCCATCCATCCCACTTCCGAATCCACCGCACTGCACCGCCTCTTTTGCAGATATATACTCGCTTTCCACTCTCTTCCTCTTCGCACCCCGTTCCCCCATATATCTCAACCGCCAGATTTGCCCAAAACAACTCCTTCGAAGGCCCTCTGCCGATCTACTTTGGCCGCATGACCCAGCTTCAGGAGCTGTGAGTGCCGCAGCAGCTGTGAGTGCCGCAGCTGTGAGTGCAGCAGCTGTTAGTGCAGCAGCTGTGAGGGCAGCAGCTGTGAGTGCAGCAGCTGTGAGTGCAGCAGCTGTGGGGGCAGAGCTCAAAGTGTGCTTGACTGCCATTGTTTCCCTGGTTTTCACTTCCATTGTTTTTCAAACGAGTAGGCTGTGCCCATCCCTGGACCCTCTCCCCAACGCGATGCCATGCCTTTCTGGGCAGTCATGTCATGTGCCGCTCGTGCCCTGCCACTCGTGCCCTGCCACTCATGCCCTGCCTGCCATTCCTCCTACTCTCACCCACGCACACCTCCTTTACTTCATTTAATTTGCTCCTACTCTTACCCACCGCATGCCTCCCCCAGGAAGCTCTACTCCAACCCCATCCCTGCCTCTTTCTCTTCACGTCAACCCACCCCCACCGCATGCCTCCCGCAGGAAGCTCTATTCCAACCCCATGGGAGGGTCGCTGCCGGAGTCCTACTCGCAACTCAAGAACCTCACCCACCTGTACGCCTCCTCACCCACCTGTACACCTCCTCACCCACCTGTACGCATCCTCACCCACCTGTACACCTCCTCACCCACCTGTACGCCTCCTCACCCACCTTTACACCTCCTCACCCACCTGTACGCCCCCTCACCCACCTGTACGCCTCCTCACCCACCTTTACACCTCCTCACCCACCTGTACGCCTCCTCACCCACCTGTATGCCTCCTCACCCACCTGTATGCCTCCTCACCCACCTGTACGCCTCCTCACCCACCTGTACGCATCCTCACCCACCTGTACGCATCCTCACCCATCTGTACGCTTCCTCACCCACCTGTATTCACTCATCACATGCTCTTTTGAAGCCTTATCTGCTTCTTTCAACCGCCATTTAAGCCTCCCATCCCATGCCTCCCATGCCTCGCATGCCTCCCATGCCTCCCATGCCTCCCATGCCTCCCATGCCTCCCATGCCTCCCATGCCTCCCATGCCTCCCATGCCTCCCATGCCTCCCACGGCTCCCATGCCTCATGTCTCCCCCACACGCCTCCTCCTCACCTCTCCCCATCGATCCCCCCTCCTTCTCGCCCTCTCATCCTCTCACCTGCCCCAAATTCAGGCATCTGGAGGACATGGGTCTGTCAGGCCCCATTCCTGACTCATGGGGCAACATGGAAAATCTGCAGTACTTGTGAGTGTGTGCAGTACTTGTGAGTGTGTGCAGTACTTGTGAGTGTGTGCAGTACTTGTGAGTGTGTGCAGTGCTTGTTGTGAGTCTGCAGCGCATGTGAGTGTGTGGCAGCGCAACCCATCTGTGTTACTTTGTTCCTCCATGTTAAACGCACACTTCTGCCTGCTACGCGCATCCTCTTGTTTCATAGCCCACTTCACTTACTCCATTCGGTGCACTGTTGACTTTTGAGTCGACTCAAAAGTCAACTTACTCCATTCGGTGCACTGTTTCATGCCAAGGACTTCAATTCTATTCACTCATCTTCTCCCCACCCTCGTTCCTCTCTCTTACCCGTTCCTGCTCATACACACTGTCTCCCCCACCTTGCCAGCCGTTTGAGTCGCAACGATATCTCAGGGATCCTCCCCACCCTCGTTCGTCCCTCTCTTTTCTTACCCATTCCTGCACAGCACATACACTGTCTCTCCCGCCTCCCCCCCCTGCCAGCCGTTTGAGTCGCAACGATATTTCAGGGGTCCTCCCCACCTCGATGAGTCAGCTCACCAACCTCATTGAATTGTAACCGTTTCATCTAGCCAACCTCATTGAACTGTAACCGTTTCATCTGACCTACCTCATTGTGAACTTTATTCGTATCTTTTAACCAACTGTAACCATCTCACCAACTGTAATGTAACCATGTCGCCACGCTTGTTCAACATCGTTATACCTCCTCTTGTTCATCCCCTTGCATCATTCGGGTTACTGATGCTTCACGAGCTCTGACCCCCAATGCTCTGACCCCCAATGCTCTGACCCCCAATGCTCTGACCCCCAATGCTCTGACCCCCAATGCTCTGACCCCCAATGCTCTGACCCCCAATGCTCTGACCCCCAATGCTCTGACCCCCAATGCTCTGACCCCCAATGCTCTGACCCCCAATGCTCTGACCCCCAATGCTCTGACCCCCAATGCTCTGACCCCCAATGCTCTGACCCCCAATGTTTATTGTCTGCTTCTCTACTTAGACATTCTGCACTTTCTCCTGCCTCTCCATCTCCCCCTCTACCCCTCTCCTGGTCTCTGCCCTGCCGTCCCCACTCCATATTTCCCCCTCTATGTCGCGTTTCTCTCTTCCCTGTCTCTCTCTCTGCCTGCAGTCTTCTCCTTCCCTTCATCCACCGTCTGCCTGCCTGCCCACCCGCCCGCCCGCCTGCTTGCCTGCCTGCCTGCCTGCTTGCCTGCCGTGCTGGCCTGCCCGCCCGCCTGCTTGCCTGCTTGCCTGCCGGCCTGCCTGCCTGCCCTCTCTCCTGCCCCCCCCACCAGCTCCATCTATCGCAATCCGTTGCTGGAGGGCAAGCTGCCGCCCTGCTGGGCCACCGTCCAGTCCCTCGGCACTCTGTACGCCCCTTCCCCTCGGCACACCTTTCCGCTACTCTCTTGCCCTTCCCCTGCTGCCCTGCTGGCCCACCACACAGTCCCACGGCACTCTGCATGCCTTACTGCCCTCCCTGCTCCCCTCCCTACCCTCCCCTGCCCTCCCCATGGCCCCCCCCTGCCGTCCCTGACCCCTCCCCTTGTCCTCCCCCTGCCCTCCCCGCAGCCCTCCCCCTATGCGCCTTGCTACCTCACTGGCCACAGCGGTTCGCACTCGCACACACTCTACCTCCCGCACCCCACCTCTTTGTCTCCCCAGCCCTGGTTACTGGCTGCCCCCTGCTGCCCATCCCCACTACCCAATTCCACCGCCCCTCAGTGCTGTCCCTCGTGATGGTGCTATAAGCTTGTTCGTCCCCGCCTGTTTCAATCCCCACCACCCTCTTGTTGCCCCTGTATCCAGCATGATCACCATCCATCCGACGCCCTCCCCTTCGCCTCCACCCACCCGCAGCAGCTCACTCCTCACAGCAGCTCACTCCTCCTCACAGCAGCTCACTCCTCACAGCAGCTCACTCCTCCTCACAGCAGCTCACTCCTCACAGCAGCTCACTCCTCCTCACAGCAGCTCACTCCTCACAGCAGCTCACTCCTCCTCACAGTGCAACCGTGAGACCAGACCAGCCTCCATCCAACGTTTCCCTCCCCCCCATCCAACGATCCCTCTCTCTTCCTCCAACCCCCCACCCCCCACCTCCTTCCCTCCCCTCCCTCCCTAATCCACCCCTACCAGCTCTCTGCTGGGCACCAGGCTGCGCTGCCCCGACAACCTGCCGACTCCTGCTGCCCCGACAACCTGCCGACTCCTGCTGCCCCGACAACCTGCCGACTCCTGCTGCCCCGACAACCTGCCGACTCCTGCTGCCCCGACAACCTGCCGACTCCTGCTGCCCCGACAACCTGCCGACTCCTGCTGCCCCGACAACCTGCCGACTCCTGCTGCCCCGACAACCTGCCGACTCCTGCTGCCCCAATATTCGATACCCATCCACCATTGTTCCCTCCCCCACCCCCCACCTCCTTCCCTCCCCTCCCTCCCCAATCCACCCCCACCAGCTCCCTGCTGGGCACCAAGCTGCGCTGCCCCGCGCGCCCCGCCGACTCCTGCTGCCCGGGGTGCCTTCAGAGCGACCTGCCCTTCTGCTCCCTCCTCTGCCCCGACTTCTGCCAACAATGCAAACCACCCCGTAACCCCCTCTCTTACTGCCAACCACCGTCTGTAACTGCTCCTTACCACATCACCTCCTCCTCGTCACATCACTGCCCCATTCTCCAGGGGACCATCCTGGTTCTGTTCCTGTCTCTGTCTGCTACACATTTTCTCTCCCTTTTTACCCCTTATTTACTCAGCAGCAACAATGCTCACTCGTGTGTTACCCCCCACCACCCCGTTTGTGCCATCCACCCTCCTCATCTGCCCTGCACTGCCCGCCCGCCAGTGCTGTCTCCAGCAGGCATAGCAGGCGTGGTGGTGGGGAGTGTGGTGCTGCTCGTAGTGCTCTACGTATGGTACTACTACTGGGGACCTGGCAGCCGCAAGGGTGAGTGGGGCGAAGGAGAGTGAGGTGCGGTGGTGAGTGTGGTGGTGGGGATGTGCGTGGGGTGGGCTGGGAGTCGCTGCTGGTGGTGGTGCCGCTCGTATCGCTCTACGTGTGGTATTCCTACTGGGGACCCGGCAGCCGCAAGGGTGATTGGGATGGGGAGGGTGAGTTTAGGGGGAGGCTGAGTGGGGTGATGAGGGTGAGTGAGGTGGGGAGTGCGATTGGAGTTAGAGTGTGAATGGGGTGGGGAGGGTAAGTTGGATGAGGTTGTGTGAGTGGGGAAATTTGAATGGAGTGGGAGGGAGTGCCACGTATGGTAAATCAACTACAGGCGTGATTCGATGTGCGGAAAGATCCAAAGGGTGCATACCGACAGAAGCACAGACGAGGTTGCTCATCTCCCCTCCCCTCTCTGCTTCCCCGAGCTCTCCTCCTCCTCCCTCCCTCCCACTGTGCTCCCCCGCCCTCTGTGCCCCCCCCTACCCTCTCACCCCCTTCCTCCTCCCCTGCAAGCAGCGTGGGAGAGGGAGCTGCAGCAGGGCTTCAGGAGGTACACGTGGAGGGAAGTTATGGAGGCGACCAACCAGCTGAGCCCCGACAACCTTCTCGGCAAGGGCGGCTTCGGCTCCGTGTACTGGGGCGTCATAGGCGGGTCCCAGCAGAGCGGGTGGAGCACAGGGGTGTGGAAGCGAGCTGAGGCCAGCTGGAAAGCAGCAAGCAGCGGCATGCACAAGGGGAGTGGGATGAGCGGAGGGAGTGGGACGACGAATGGGGGGAGTGGCACAAGTGTAGGGAGTGGGACAAGTAAGGGGAGCGTTACGAGTGCAGGCAGCAGGAACATTGCTTCTGTTGCTCCTGCGGACGGCAGTGCCCCAGGGGTGGGCGGCAGTGCTCCCAAGGTGGGCGGCGGTGTGCGTGTGGTGGTGGGCGGCGGCATGGAGGTGGCGATCAAGCGAGCAGCTGTTGTGGAGCGATCGTCCAACGTCGCCACCATGTTTGAAGAAGAGGTGCGCGGTGCGGTGCGGTGTGATCGGGTGTGGTGTGGTGGCGTGGAGGGGTTGTGTTCGTGGTACGGTGCAGTGTGATCGGAAGTGGTGTGGTGGTGTGGAGGGGGTGTGTCGGTGGTGCGGTGCGGTGTGATCGAGTGTGGTGTGGTCGCGTGGAGGGAGTGTTTCTGTGGTGCGCTGCGGAGTGATCGGGTGTGGTATGGCCGCGTGGAGGGAGTGTGCGTGTGGTGCGGTGGCAAGGAGGTCTGCTTCTATGTTGGAAAAGTCGTGCCCAGCATATTATACGCAAGCGCACATACGCTTGCGTATAATACGGGATGCGCTGAATGGGTGACTCAAGAATACGTGAAAAATACGCTGCCCGGTCAGGTAAAGCTTTTTTTCCGGTCAGGCGGCACGAGGAACCTCATTAGTTGCACTCGCGGGAGTGCCAGTGCCAGTAGGGGGCGTCATCGTAGAGCTGCGAGGTGATCGAGAGAACTGGAGAAAGAGAATTGGACGACGTGACTGATGAGAATGTTTAGGGTTGGGAGGGACTTACCTTTTTGTCCTCGATGAGAGTTGAGGTAGGCTAGACATTCGTGTAGCTGAGTTGGAGTCGCGGGGTAAAGGACGGTGCAATGCGGTTGATTTGACTGTCCCCTTGCCAAATTTGTGTGTTGGTGGGGTCGACGAATTGTTGATGTGCGAACAATTTGACGTCGCATTTGCAAAACTCGTGCGCACAATGTGTGTCGCGACGCATTTTCCAATTTCGTGCGCGAACTTTTTTTTTTTTTTGGCCGGGCAGCCCGGATTTTTCCGAACGAATGTACGTACGTATTGCGTACAGCGTATATTCGTCTACGTATAGACGCTGTACGCATGCCCAGGCTGGCGACTTTTCCAACATAGGTCTGTTTTAGCGTGGCCTGGTGTGATAGGGAGGTGCTACTTGGTTGCAATGAGTAAGGTGAGGGGGCTAAACGAATGAAAAGAGGAATACTTCGGTTGATGAGGCATGTGTTGGTAAGCACAATAGTTTTGTTGGAATGTGCCTAAAATGAATGTCAAAATCAAAATGCAAAAGATACTGATTTCAGCCGGGCTTCATAACTCAATTAGGGCGCGTGGCACAGCAAAATTCGACTGTCGAAGTTCGACTTTTTACAGCAAAGCCCGAGCGTGGAAATTCGAATGCGAGGTCGACCCAGTTGAGTGTCCTACCGTTTTCTCGATCTTTGAACATGGACACACGAACGTCGCATAACAACCCTAAACGATATTTGCGAAATTGGTTACCATCAAAAGGTCGACCTTTTTTTCAAACTCCGACCACAAAGGACACGCGCCCTTACAAATAAGTGACGACACCAAACCATATGCTATATTATATAACGTCGTTCTTTATAGGTAATTTGAGTTGAATCACATCATTCTAGCAAGTAGTTAGTGATCGTTTTGTTGGTTTAAACAAGCGGCAGTATGACAGCAACTATAGTCCTAAAATTGAAGCTTGAATATATGATGGTTTCCAGCCTAAGATACAGAAGTACGAGGAGGTGGGAATGTGCCCCACAATCGCCAAGCGTGAAATGGCTCAGAAGTACCCACCAAAGTGACATCCTTCAATATAGATGGTGCGTCACGGAATGATCCGATATTTTTTTATTTACGACATGGCGAATTTTTAGCATACTGGAACCTTGAAAAGGTGGTACAAGGTCTTCCTTGAGCCTTTGCTGCACAACACTTTCAATGAACGTTCAACAAATGACAAGATCGAACCACGCACGACTCACATACAATGACTTGGCACACGATCTACAATGCCGTGCTAATGAAATGATGCATGCATAAGGCCATCGTCCAAGCAAACATACGAAGATGGCACACACACAACACAGCACACCTGTGAAAAATACCAGGCAATGTTTTTTTGCTCAATTTATGTCGACCGTTTTTTCTTTCTTTCTTTCTTTCTTTTCCCGTACAACTTCAGCAAAAATTGTTGGTGATGGAAATCAAAGTTTTCTTAGTCTATGCGACGTGTCTTACAAATGTTTCCCAAAAATTGTCGATGGGGAACGTTTGGGATATGTGTGTGTATCACATGACGTATTTTCCATTACAATACGTACATGTCAAATATATGTAAAGAGTAATTCTATGGTTCCCTACTTCGCACAGAAGTTTCTACTCAAGGTTTCCATACAATAGTATCGACATCATTGCTGCCACCAAGCCACCATGCCATCATGTCACCATGCCATCATGCCACCATGTCACCATGCCTCTGTGTCACCATGCCACCATGCCACGTGGCCCCTCTCTCTCCCCCTCACGTACTCTCCTGGTCTGGCTGTCCCCACGCCTGGCAGGTGAAGGCGGTGTCCAAGTTGAGCCACAAGAACCTCGTGCGCCTCCTCGGCTACTGCAACGAGAACAACGAGCAGGTGCCGCTCTCTTCCAAAAAATGCCGCCCTTGTCTCCTAAGAATATTCCCCTTAGTCGTGACAGACAGCTGCATCCTCATCCTTGACCACATGGTGCAGCCTTTTGCTTTTTGATTAAGAAATCTCTAAAGCTCCTTATCACACCTTCTTGTAGCAGCTTCACAAGTTGATACTTCATCATATGAAGACTTGTATTGAGGGGCGGCAGCGGGTCTGATACTGCATGTCCCCGCAGCTGCTTGTGCGCAACCGCACGTCTGTGCTTGTCCCTAAACCACCCCACCACCCTCCCTCCCCCCCCTATGTGCGTGAAGGCCCTCTGAGCGACCACCCGTACGAGAAGGTTGGTGGGCACCTGCTGGCCTTTGAGTTGTCCCATTGCAACCCCCTTCCACCGGGTGTTGGTGTACGAGTTTGTGTGCAACGGCTCTCTGAGCCACCATCTATACGTTCAGTACCACAAGCACCTGCTCACCTTCGAGGAGCGGCTTCTTGAGTCGACTCAAAAAGTCATCCCCCACCCCCTCCCTCTTAACAGGTGTTGGTGTACGAGTATGTGCCCAACGGAGACATCAGCGACCATCTGTACGCCAAGTTCCACATGGGGCTGCTGCATGCATAACCCCTCTCAGCGACCATCTGTACGCCAAGTTCCACATGGGGCTGATGCATGCATAACCCCTCTCAGCGACCATCTGTACGCCAAGTTCCACATGGGGCTGCTGCATGCATAACCCCTCTCAGCGACCATCTGTACGCCCAGTTCCACATGGGGCTGCTGCATGCATAACCCCTCTCAGCGACCATCTGTACGCCAAGTTCCACATGGGGCTGCTGCATGCATAACCCCTCTCAGCGACCATCTGTACGCCAAGTTCCACATGGGGCTGCTGCATGCATAACCCCTCTCAGCGACCATCTGTACGCCAAGTTCCACGGGCACCTGCTGACCTTCGAGGAGCGGCTGGACGCTGCTTTGGGGCTGGCGGAGGGGCTCAAGTACCTCCATTATCATGCAGAGAAGCCTATTGTGCACCGCGACATCAAGCCCTGCAACGTTCTGCTCACAGAGGAGTACCAGGTGGGTGGAATGCGGTAGCAGGGTATCACACGATGCCAGTCAGAGGGGCTCAAGTACCTGCACTGTCATGCAGAGAAGCCCATTGTGCATCGTGACATCAAGCCCTGCAACGTGCTGCTCACAGAGGAGTACCAGGTAAGGGGAAGCCAATCACTGAGTGCCACATGGCAGAATGGCATGCCAGGATGCAGGGAAGCCCATTGAGACCTCCGGACATTCTGAGCCTCTCACCATCGCACCGCATGGCGCCACCATGGTGTTTGTTAGACAAAGCATGGCACCACCACGGTGTCTGTTAAGCAGCTGCTGCCATTCGACGTCCTCAAGACAAGGCATGGACATAATCACTGTCTCTTTCTCCTGCCCTCCCCTCCCATTCCCCAACCACCCTCCGTGCCGCGTCCCGTCTAGATGAAGATCGCCGACTTGTGCCTAATATGGGAGGCCTCCAGACCATGCATATGCAACCACTTCCCACCCCCCCTTCAACTTGTGACCGCCTTCCCCACCACCTCCCTTGCTGCCATGCAGGTGAAGATCGCCGACTTTGGTTTGATACGGTCGCTGCAGGAGGGCGCGGAGCAGGAGGGCACATTCACGCGTGTGGCGGGCACGAGGGGGTATCTGGACCCCGAGTACATGACGTGTGAAAAGCTCTCCACAGCGAGCGATGTGTACAGGTGGGTGTGAGTATGAGTCTATGTTTGCGATTATGTGGGCACGAGGGGGTATTTGGACCCCGAGTACATGACGTGTGAGAAGCTCTCCACGGCGAGTGACGTGTACAGGTGGGTGTGATCATACAGGTGGGTGTGATCATACAGGTGGGTGTGATCATACAGGTGGGTGTGATCATACAGGAGGGTGTGATCGTACAGGTGGGTGTGATCATACAGGTGGGTGTGATCATACAGGAGGGTGTGATCGTACAGGTGGGTGTGATCATACAGGTGGGTGTGATCATACAGGTGGGTGTGATCATACAGGTGGGTGTGTGGGAGGGTGGGTGGGTGGTGGTGTGTGGGGGTGTGTCTGTGTGTGGGGGTGTGTCTGTGTGTGCGTGTGGGTGTGTGTGCTCCACATCCCTCCATGTCCCTCCATCCCATGTCTCCTCCACATCCCTCCAAATGTCTCCACATCTCTCCATATCTATCCACATCTCTTTACATCTCTCCACATCTCTCCACATCTCTCCACATCTCTCCAAATCTCTCCGCATCTCTACCCACCAGCTACGGCGTGCTGCTACTCGAGATGGTGACGGGGCGGCCAGCCACGGAGAGTGACCCAAACGACCAGAGCTGCCTCAGGCACATCACCTCCTGGGTGAGCTGGCATGTCCACGTCAGCACTTGGGTGAGCTGTCATGTCCACGTCAGCACATGGATGAGCTGTCGAACAATGTATGGCTGTGAGATCATTGCAGAGAGCAGCACCACCACCTGTCCGTGCCCGTGCGCCGCCCAGCCTGACACAAGCCAGCCAGTGCATACCGGAAGATGTCAAGGCACATGCTGCCAAACCATGCCACCCTGCACCACATGCGTCCATCAGAGCATGCCCTACCACGAAGGTTCTTTCTCTTCTCATGCCAAGTCTCTCCACCTCCATGCCTTGTAATCGCCCCTCCCTTCCCCCCCACCCGCCCCCACCACCCTCCAACACCCCTTTCCTCCCGCCAGGAGCTGTGACACACATCGTTCAGCGTGACGTTTGACATCCCCCAAAACGCCCACCTTTCGCTCCCTCTCCACCCGGCAGAATGAGAGCCTGTTGTGTCATCCCCTCCCTCTTCTCCCACCGCCCCTTCCTCCCACCGCCCCTTCCTCCCCCCCACACCAGGCGGTGCCGTACATAGAGCGAGGGGAGATCCGAGAGATAGCGGACGCGCGCATTGCCTCGCCGCTCAACCTGCCCTTTCTGCTGCAGATGGCGCGCACCGCCGCCCTCTGCGTGCAGCTGCCGTCCTCCCGCCGCCCGGACATGGCTGAGGTGGCGCGCGTCATGCTGTACGCCCGCCGCACCTTCCATGCCGCCGCCGCCGCCGCCGCTGCCGGCGCCGCTGCCCTCGCTGCCACTGGTGGTGCTGCTGGTGGGGAAGGGGTGCAGGGAGGGGAAGCGGGAGGAGAAGGAGGAGCAGGAGGAATAGGAGGAGCAGGAGGAGCAAGAGGAGTAGGAGGAGCAGGAGGAGCAGGAGGAGCAGTGGGGGCAGGAGGAGCAGGAGGAGCAGGAGGGTCTGTGGGACTGGCAGCTCATCTCTCAAGAGGGATTCGAGGTGTGGCAGGGGCGCTGGGTGGGAAGGGGAGCCCCCGAGGAGCAGACGTGGGGAGGAGTGGGCTTGTGGGTGCCAGCGGCAGGGCGTTGGGGAGTGAGAGCATGAAGAGATGGGTGCATTACTTCGGCGGCGGGGGTGGAGGGCGGAGCAGGCAAGAGAGTGAGCAATTTGAAGAGATTGTCCCAGAGACTGGCTCAGTGAAGCCCGACAGTGGATATACGGTTACCACTGGTAACACAGCAACCAGCGACTCTGCTAGTGGAGATAGAGACGTACCGTGAGGGGAGAGGAGAGCCGCAAGTGTGTGTCTGGCGCATTAAGTGTCAACGCACACACACACACACACACACACACACACAGACACACACACACACACACACCACACACACACACACACACACACACACACACACACAGACACACACACATACACACACACACACACACAGACACACACACACACACACACACACACACAAACACACACACACACACACACACACACACACACAAACACACACACACACACACACACACACACACACACACACATTCATATATGTAAATATATACATATATATGTATATGTTGGGGTTTACTATAGAAAATTAAGGATGCAAGTTCTACCCCCTTCATATGCCTTTACCGTATTACCCCGGATCGAAGCACACCTGCGCTTATAATAAAGCAGAGTTTTTTAGGCCGGTGCACTTCCGATTGAGTCATTTTAATAACCGCATGCGCTTATATAATGACGTACAGAAATATAAATTTATAGCATCAAAATGTACATCCCAGTCGTACCATTCCAATCGAGGCAGGAATCAGAATCGCGCGCTACCGATTTTTTACCAACACACAGGGGCAAAGACACGTCAGTTTGCCCCTATGCCAGCACATCTTGGCCTGACGCGCAGCTTCTGAGGACTTCGCGAGTCAAACGAAGCGATAAAGAAATTAGGCTCGCTTCAATTCTGAAACAGCAGATTTTAAATAGAAAATTATGGATGCGCTTATAGTAAAACAGGGTTTTACAGGGGGTGCGCTTATAACTGAGGATCGGCCATAAGCACATTGCTCCTGATATAAGCGCATGCGCTTTTAATAGGCCTGCGCTTATATCCGGGGCGACACGGTATGACTCATTGATTCAGTTTTTGATATGGTACCATTTTCTCTTAGGTTTCTCGCTTCTACTCACCGGTACTTCGATAGCTGCCCTCGTGCCCTCAAGTGGCCCTCTCCAACGCCCGCAACATCCCCCCATCCCCACATCCACCCCCCCCTCCCCCCACTCTCTAACGCGCTTGACGCATGCCGAGCCTTACCGCCACACCCGCCGCGCACTACTTGCAGCGCTCCTATCGCGGTCTACCGTGCCCTGCTGCGCACCATGTCGCGCACCCTGCCGCTCACCGTGCCGCGCACCCTGCCGCTCACCGTGCCGTGCGCCCTGCCGCGCCTGACGTGCTTTGCCTCGTGCTTGCCACTCATCCTGCCACCCATTTTCTGTGGCCGTTTGCGGTCCGGTACGCCGCGCATCAGCTCAACCTCTGGCCCCGTGTATCCTTGCCGGAGACCTCGCCCACACTGCTGTGGACGGGGAAGGTTGGCGATGCGTCGCGTTTCCGGGTCTGGGGTGCTCGTGCCTTTGTCCGCAATACCACCGCGGACAAGCTTTCCGCCTGCGCTGTTCCCTGTGTCTTCCTTGGCTTTGTCCCTGACGCGCTTGGTTGGCAGTTTTACCACCCCACCTCGTGCCGTATCTTCCCCTCTCAGGACGTCACGTTCGACGAGTCGGTTCCCTTTTACCGTCTCTTCCCCTACCGCGCTGCCCCTCTCCCCCCCCCGCCGCTCTTCCTCGCTCCAGGTGCTCCCCAGGTAGACCCCCTCCCCGCTCCCGGTCCTGCTCCTTCAGGTGTGTCTCAGGTAGACCCTCCTCCCTTGACTGCTCCGGTTGAGGTCACTGGTGACTCAGGTCCTGCTGAGGGTGGTCCTGCTCGGGGTGCTGCTTCTGGGCGTGCCGAGCCTGCGGGTGCGGAGCCTGGGGGTGAGAGCCTGGAGGTGCGGAGCCTGGGGGTGCGGAGGCTGGAGGTGCTGAGCCTGGGCGTGAGGAGTCTGGGGGTGCTGAGCCTGGGGGTACTGAGTCTGGGGGTGCTGCACCTGGGGGCGCTGAGGCGTCTGGTGAGCAGTCTCCCTGGAGCGGCCGTCTCCGTAGTCGCTCCGCTGGTACCTCGCCGCTGCACTCTCGTCGTTGACTCCCTCTCTCCCCACAGCAGCTGCGTGAGTGGTACGTTGGCCGTCAGGGTCGCGCTGCTGGAGCTAGGGGCCCTGCTGCGGGAGGCGCTAGAGCTTGTGACTCTGCTACTGGCGCTGGAGCTGGAGGTTCTGGAGCTGCTGAGGGTGCTGGCGCTGGAGGTTCTGGAGTTGCTGCGGGTGCTGGCACTGAGGGTTCTGAGTCTGCTGTTGCGCGGTCTCCTTGGAGTAGCCGCCTTCGTCCGTGTGTGCCTCTCACCTCACAGCAGCTGCACGACTGGTACGGTCGCCGTCAGGGTCGCGCTTCTGGAGCTCGGGGCTCTGCCGCTGGAGGTACTTCTGCTGACGTCACTGGAGCTGGGAGTGGTGCTGGTCCCGGGGGTGCTCGTACTGGAGGTACTGGAGCTGCTGGGGCTGGAGGTGCTGAGCCTGAGGGTGCTGCTGCTGGAGACACTGAGGCTGGAGACCCTGGGACTGGAGGTGCCGGTTCTGGGGGTGCTGCTGCTGGTGGAGCTGGTCCTGGAGGAGCTGGAGCTGGAGGTTCTGGAGCTGCTGGAGGTGCTGGAGCTGCTGGGGGTGCTGGAGCTGCTGGTGCTGGTAGCACTGCACAGCCGCGCCTGTTCTTTGCTCCACCGTCTCCGTCGTCTCAGGCAACCGTCAGACTCTGTGCTTCACCAGGTTCTTAGTCTCCCTTCGTCTACTAGTCTTCCGTTACAGCCTGGCTCACCGCTGCCTGCTCCTTCTCCTTACACTGAGCAGACAGTGGGTCTTACTGAGCGTCGTGAGCCTGCGTCGCGTCCTGTCTCGCCTGTCCGCTCTGATACCATCTTAGGATCTAGGCATGAATGTGTGATTAGGTCAAGGGGGGGTACAAGAAGAATGTCGAGAGAAATGTTGTACCCCCTAGTGCTAACCCCCATACAGCCTAGATAACCTAAACATGCATATATAATTTGACAATCCTGCCACCCATGCCGCCCCTGCTAGAATGCTGTCTGTGTCGCTCCTGCTAGACCACTATGTCGGCGTAGCAGCAGAAGTGGCCGCAGTGCAGCAACAGTGGCCATAGTAGCAACAGGTTCAGAAGCAGCAGTAGTAGCATTCCCAGCAGTGGCGGCCCAGACAGCTGGGGGGCTCGTCACGGTGGCCGCGACGTTGGGCCCTGCCAGCATCGTATATTGATTAACCCCTTGCTGGCACTTTTTGTAGGCGTCCTGACTACTTTGTGTTGTGCTGCCTCAACGACCTCTACCGTGAGCGCTTCCTGACCACTCATTTCCCTTGTACTGGCTTGCTCTGCTTCGCCATGATTACCGTATGCTTAATGTGACCATGGATGATGTTCTGTCGTATGTATTGTTGTCGACTGTAGTACCGCTGGAAATGTTTGCTTGCACATACATAGCTTAGGATAGTTGCCTTCTAGAGTAGGTTTTTTTTTCCTTATTAATTTTCAGCCCATGTGTGACTACTGGTGCCATGTCTCTTTCTTTCACGCTTGACTCCGGCGCATCACAGTGCTTCTTCGCCTACCACACACCTGTCACACCACTTCCAGCAACAGACATAGCTACTTCGGCTGATCTTACTTCGGAACTCGCCATTGCTCGCAACTCTACCACTCTCCTATGCCTGGCAATCCCCTCTGGTTCCCTCACAGGTCTCCCAATTCTCTCGTTCTCCAGAAACTTGGTGGGCGTTGGACGCCTTCAAGACACCTGGGTCACAATCACTTTTCCTGCACATGAGAGGTTTGCAAGTCCGACCCTTATGAACGCTTCCACTGAGCACCTCTTGCGACGTTCTCCCTAGATTCTTCGTGAGGTCTCATCACACTGCACACTGTGTCTGCGTGTGCACACTTCACACTCCCTGTGGCACCATCGACTTGGTCACTCTGCACTCCCACGTCTCCGCTAGATGTATAGGTCCGATCTTGTGTCAAGTTCCCGCTCTTGATTTCTCTGTTTCATCATTCGCCTGCTCCGTCGCACACTCCTTGCGTTGTGGGTCAGCAACACGCAACCCCTCACACCTCCGCCCTTCCACCTAGCACCGCACCTCTTCAAACTTTGCGCATGGACGTCTGGGGCGCTACTACAGTCGCTGGGCCGCGAGATCGGAAGTTCAGCCTTGTGGCTGTGGATGACTTCCCGCTACAATACGGTGTTTCCTGCAGCTGAAAGCCCACATGCCCGATGTTCCGATCTCGTGGTTGCTGGTGACTAGCGCCCAGCACGCCCTCCTCTGCATTGTCTATACTCCGGCCTGGAGGTGAGTTTTTCCCTTGTATTCTTGCCATGTTTAGTCACGAGAAGGGCATCACCCAATCCTTCACGCTTCTGGACTAGTCACAACAGAATGGGGTTGTTGTTAGATTGCACGTAACTCCATGGTCCATGCCCTTGCGCCCCATTTTCTGTGGCCCTTAGCGGTTTGCTACGCTGCACACCAGTTGAACCTCTGGCCAGGTATTTTCCGCGCCTATAAATTTCACCGACTAGTCTCTGGACTGGGTCTACTTGTGCCGCGCTTGCGTTTTGTCAGAATGTTATATTTCTCTAGTCTGCAGTGGGGTACTGTGTAGTGAGTACAACCCTGTTAGGGTTTGCTATATGTATCCTATCTGCTGCTAGTGGAAACCCCTCTTCTCTGTTCTGATTTCTCCTTCGTAATACCTAAACCCTAGCCATGGCTACTAAGCTCTAGCTAGGATTCTGACATGCTATCAGAGCGAGTACGTTCTTGGCCTGTGGGCCCACCTGCTTCCGCTGCTGTCCTGTCTGTCGCGCACCCCGTGGCGTGCGACGTTTTTTCTTCCCGCCACGCGCTCGGGGCGCGCGGCGGTTTTCTGCCCGCCGCGCGCTCGGGGCGCGCGGCGGTTTTCTGCCCGCCGTGCGCCCCGAGGCGCGCGGCGGTTTACTGCCTCACGCGTCACCCCGGGGACCCGCGCGTCCCCCCCCCCGTCGACCGTCGCGCCGTCCCCGGGGACCCGCGCGTCCCTCCCCGTCGACCCGCGCGCTGCCCCGTGGGCCCGCGCGCTGCCCTGCCCGTCGCTCGTCGCGGCGCCCTGGGGGCCCGCACGTCCCCCCTTCCCGTCGCACGTCGCGGCGCCCTGGGGGCCCGCGCGTCGCCCCCTCCCGTCGCCCCCTCCCGTCGCACGTCGCGGCGCCCTGGGGGCCCGCGCGTCCCCCCCCCCGTCGCCCGTCGCGGCGCCCTGGGGGCCCGCGCGTCGCCCCCTTCCCGTCGCCCGTCGCGGCGCCCTGGGGGCCCGCGCGTCGCCCCCTCCCGTCGCCCGTCGCGGCGCCCTGGGGGCCCGCGCGCCGCCCTGCCCGTCGCCCGTCGCAGCGCCCCAACTGCTGCCCGCGTTTCTGCCCCATGCCGCCTGCGTTTGGGGTGTGGGGGTGGCGGGTATAGGGTGGGCGAGTGTGTGACCGCCCCCTGCTCCTCCTCCTCCTCCGTCTCCCACTACTGCAGCTGCCGCTGAGGGGGGTGGGTGTGTGGGAGCCGAGGGAGTGGCGCTAGGGGGGTGTCGTGAGAGTGGAGCTAGGGGTGCAGCAGGGGGTGTGTGAAAGGGGGTCTGCGACAGTGGGGGAGGTTGAGAGGAGGTAGCCGTCGTGACGTCAGCAACGCCAGTAGTTCGGGGCCCTTGCTCCGGTAGCCCAGCAAGCCAGTCGCTGCGCCAGTCACCCGTGGGTCCGTTGCTCCTGCCGCTCGTCTTAGCCGCGGAGCCAGTTACTCCTGTAGTCCGGGGCCCTTGCTTCGGTAGCCACTGTGCGCGCCCCTCTTGTTGCCCGTGTGTCTGCGGCTTTACTCGTTGCCTCCTATCTCCACTCCTCTCACAGTCCCTCCTCCTCCTCACTTGCCCTCTGTGACTGCCTCTAGCTCTGCTTGTGTTTGTGAACTTCTTATGCGATTGTTTGTTGTGCTGATTATACCCCACTTTGACTATGGGGGTGTGTCTTAATGTTATATTTCTCTAGTCTGCAGTGGGGTACTCTGTAGTGAGTACAACCCTGTTAGGGTTTGCTATATGTATCCTATCTGCTGCTAGTGGAAACCCCTCTTCTCTGTTCTGATTTCTCCTTCGTAAAACCTAAACCCTAGCCATGGCTATTAAGCTCTAGCTAGGATTCTGACACGTTTTGTGTCTAGGGCTGCCTTGCGCATGTCCGCGATCCTCGCGCGGACAGGCTCTTGGTTCGCACCCTCCCCTGCAACTTTCTGGGGTTTCCAGTTGACGCCCCTGACTTTCAGTCTTACCACCCGCCCCTCCACCGGTTCTTCAACTCCTGCGACATCATGTTTGACAAGTATGTGTCCTTCTATGCCTGCTACCCCCACCAAGGTCTCCCGGTTCCCTCCCCTCCCCTCATCCTCGTTCCCACTGCTCCTCTTGTACTCCCATCCCACCCTGGTCCTGCCCCATCAGGTGTGTCTCACGCTATCTCACTTCCCTCTGTAGCACATTTGATGTCGTCTCCTTCACTACAGTCCCCTGTGTCATCCTCACAGTCACCGCAGCAGCCTTCGATGCTGCCTCGACACGTCACTGTGGACTCCTGGAATGCTGACCATGGAGGTGCTCGTGCTGGTTCTGGAGGAGCTGGTGTCTAGGGTGCTGATGCTGGAGGTGCTGGAGCTGGAGGTGCTAGCACTGTGGGTGGTGTTGGTTCTGGCGGTGCTTGTGGTGGATGTGCTGGAGCTAGAGGTGTTGGAGCTGGAGGTGCTGGTTGTAGGGGTGCTAGAGCTGGAAGTGTTGGCACTGTGGGTGCTGGTTATGGGCGTGCTGGTGGTGGAGGTGCTGGAGCTGGATGTCCTGGCACTGGGGGTTCTGGAGTTGGAAATGCTGGTTTGGGGGATGATGCAGCTGGAGGTGCTGGACCCGGTTGTACTGGCACTGGAGGTTCTGGTCCTGGGGGTGCTGCAGCTGCGGCACCTGCCCCAGTCGTCCCTCGTTACCTGACCAAGTTCCAACTTCTTATGCTGCAGCAGTCGCAGCAACAATAGTAGCATCAGCCACCGCACCAGCCACAGCCGCAACAACTGCTGTTACTGCAGCAGTCGTCGCTGCCTGTGAGTGGTCTTCATAGTCTTGGTTTCCCTCCCCTCCTCGTGATTTCTCACCATCTCTTCTTGCTTACGGTCCCACGTTCTCTCCTCCAGGCGCATTCCCCTTCTCGGTCATGACGGTCTCCTTCGTTGCCTCCTTCTCTGTCCCTTGCAAAACCTCGATCTCAATCGTCAATCGTCTCCTATCCCTGACCCACGCTTCTTCGTACTTTCCGTCCTCGTGTTCCACCTCTGTCTGTCCTCGCGTCACTTCCTGGGTCGCCTTTCACTGTTTCTTCACTGTCTTTATCCGCTACGTATTTCTGTACTACTCGCCATGTCGTCTCTCGTGCTCTCTCCTCTCTCGTGGCTGACACAACAGCCTCTCCTCCGTCGTTTGTATCGAATCTTGTCGTCGTTGTCACTGACTCTGCCTCTACCTGCTACCTTGACTATGTCATTTGGCTGGTTGGTGCTCCTCCTACCCGTCCTTTGTCCGCTGGAGGTAAGCTTGCCCTTGGCAGTGACGTTCAAGAGGACAGGCGGTTTGAACTAGAGTTATTTGCAGCCGTTGCTCCCCACCTCTTTGCCATGTTACTAGCCCCTGAAGGAGACCCTGGCGCTCCAAACCACCCGACTTCTCGTATTTACATAGTGGCGGTTTCGGATCAGTAGGCCTCTTGGAGGATAACATGCGAACTCACGATGCCTAAAATCCTATCCTAACAAAGGCCCTGGATTAGAACAGGAGCAGCTTGTTACAGAGCGACCACTAGACAAGCTGCTTAGGTGTGCTAGTCGTCGGCATGTACTGGTTACTGGAATTTACACTTGCTCAAAGCTGGAGGAACAGACTCTGCACTTCATGCGCCAGACACACACTTGCAACTCTCCTCTCCCCCCACGGTAAAACGCTATCCCCACTAGTAGAGTCGCTGCTTGACGTGTTACCCACTCTCTCCTCCTCCTTCCCTGGGCCCCGTGCCCTCTGGGACAGTCTCTTCAATTCGATTACTCTCTTGCCTGCTCCGCCCTCCACCCCCGCCGCCGAAGTAATGCACCCATCTCTTCATGCTCTCACTCCCCAACGCCCTGCCGCTGGCACCCACAAGCCCACTCCTCCCCACGTCTGCTCCTCGGGGGCTCCCCTTCCCACCCAGCGCCCCTGCCACACCTCGAATCCCTCTTGAGAGATGAGCTGCCAGTCCCACAGACCCTCCTGCTCCTCCTGCTCCTCCTGCCCCCACTGCTCCTCCTGCTCCTCCTGCTCCTCCTACTCCTCTTGCTCCTCCTGCTCCTCCTATTCCTCCTGCTCCTCCTTCTCCTCCCGCTTCCCCTCCCTGCACCCCTTCCCCACCAGCAGCACCACCAGTGGCAGCGAGGGCAGCGGCGCCGGCAGCGGCGGCGGCGGCGGCGGCGGCATGGAAGGTGCGGCGGGCGTCCAGCATGACGCGTGCCACCTCAGCCATGTCCGGGCGGCGCGTGGACGGCAGCTGCACGCAGAGGGCGGCGGTGCGCGCCATCTGCAGCAGAAAGGGCAGGTTGAGCGGCGAGGCAATGCGCGCGTCCGCTATCTCTCGGATCTCCCCTCGCTCTATGTATGGTACCGCCTGGGGGGGGCGGGGTTGATAACGAGACGGGAAGACGAGATATCAGGTAACGTATGTCTCCCTGCACCGCCCGGAGGAGAGAGGGGAGGGCAGGGGGGGAGGGTTGGGGATGGGGGAATAGGAGTTGTAGAGGGTGGGTAAGGGGAAGCGGAGGAGGATGGCACAGTGAGTGGATCACGGGGATGTGGATCTCCCCATGCTCGATGTACGCCCCCCCCTGGTAGGGAGACGGGTTGGAAAAGAGGACGGGGAAAGAAGATGTTGGATGACTCAAATCTCCCCGCGCTCGATTTATGGCACTGCCTAACATAAGGGAGGCGGACGAGGAGGAATGAGGAGGGACGTGGAGGGATGGGGAGAGACATGGATGGATGTGGAGAGATGAGAAACGCCGTGAACCGTGTGAGAAAAAGAGCAGGTGGTACTGTTCACAACCATGACTTTATGGGACAGCTCACCCAACTGCTGACGTGGACATGACAGCTCACCCAAGTGCTGACGTGGACATGACAGCTCACCCAGGAGGTGATGTGCCTGAGGCAGGTCTGGTCGTTGGGGTCGATCTCCGTGGCTGGCCGCCCCGTCACCATCTCCAGCAGCAACACACCGTAGCTGGTGGGGGGGTCACATGGGATGCGAGGGAGGCAGGGCATGGAGATGAGAGGGAACAAAGCATGGAGTTGAGGTGACTTTTGAGCCATGCACTTGGCTGTGACCGGCCGGCCCGACACCATCTCCAGCAGCAGCACACTGTAGCTGGTGGGCAGGTCATGTGGGATGCGAGGGAGAAGGCGGCATGGGGATAAGAGGCACACTGGAAGGGGATGAGGTGAATTTTGGCTGTGGCTAGCCGCCCTGTCACCAGCAGCAGCAGCACACCGGCTGTGTTTTGCAATTCTCGCACTGCCGGACATTTTTGAATTTTGCCGTGTATTTGAGTGCCTTCCTGCTTGTGCGGTTTGGTTGGGTTGTGGAACTCAGAAAACAGTGTGGTGACGTACGTTTACACAAATGTGATCGCAATGAACACATTTGAATACCGAACGTGTTTGTGATCGCCATGAACACATTTGAACCCCAAACGCGTTTGTGATCGCCATGAATACATTTGAACCCCAAACGCGTTTGTGATCGACATGAACACATTTGAACCCCAAACGCGTTTGTGATCGACATGAACACAATTGAACCCCAAACGCGTTTGTGATCGCCATGAACACATTTGAACCCCAAACGCGTTTGTGATCGCCATGAACACATTTGAACCCCAAACGCGTTTGTGATCGCCATGAACACATTTGAACCCCAAACGCGTTTGTTTTCGACATGGCTCGGCCTTGAGGGCCAAACCCAACCAAACATGTTCAGGCGAACAGGAACGTGTTCGGGTTGAGGTGTTGGACCTTTTGCTCACGCCTATATGTATGAATGCAGCCTCGATGATTTATTGACCATGGACTAACTCAATCCATGGGCCTTTGCGCGCTGCATCGTTTGCATCCTAGTTGGGTTGCAACTGTTGTAATCCAATTTTGTACCAGTGCATTAATCATAAGATATCCTAGTCTGGGATAAAGGAAAATTCCCGGGTTGGGATTTACACACAAAATCTCAATCATCTTGGCCCAGATGTGATCAACTGACGTTTCCTTTCCATCCCACGAATGGAGATACTAGCCAATATTCTTATATGTGACTTGATTGTAAGTACGAACGTATTTTTTATAGTAACAATTGAAGGTCGAGCCTTCACAGCATTCACAAACCTGCAAACTCCACGTTCACAATTTGTACATCTCTGCAGTGCAACACACACCTGTACACATCGCTCGCGGTAGAGAGCTTCTCACACGTCATGTACTCGGGGTCCAGATACCCCCTCGTGCCCGCCACACGCGTGAACGTGCCGTCCTGCTCCGCCCCTTCCTGCAGCGACCGAATCAGCCCAAAGTCGGCGATCTTCAGCTGCAATGGAAGGGACGTGGTGCAGAGCAAAGGATGCAAGCCATGCAGTGCGAGGCGCTTGGAAGGGCTGCTCCGTGCCCTCCTGCAGAGACCGAATCAACCCGAAGTCGGCGATGCTGTGTTCAAGCCGACATGAACATAGCGGTCATGTTGAAAGTGCTAGCCGTGCTTGCGTCAATGAAATGCGAGCTCCGACGTCTCGTGCCTCGACACTTCCCTGTGTGCTTTTGTTTTGTGCTTTTGTATTTTTTTTGTATCTTTGGCTATAGTCGATCGTTTTCTGCGATCCTGGGTGCGTTGAAATCGTGCTTCCGAGCTGCTATCGTAGTGGAATTCCACAAAGAAAGCATGATGCCATATGGCATGCCACCCTCCAAATGGTTCTCTCTACTTACCTGGTAATCCTCTGTGAGCAGCACGTTGCAGGGCTTGATGTCGCGATGCACAATGGGCTTCTCTGCATGATAATGAAGGTACTTGAGTCCCTCCGCCAGCCCCAGTGCCGCGTCCAGCCGCTCCTCAAAGGTCAGCAAGTGCCCGCGGAACCTCGCGTACAGATGGTCGCTGATGTCGCCGTTGCGCACATACTCGTATACCAACACCTGGTTGAAGGAAGGGAGGGGGGGCATGATTTAGGAAGTTAATAGTTGCGCACATACTCGTACACTAACACTTGCCAAGAGCTGGGAGAAAGAGGGGGAAGGGGTGATAATACGGACGATTCAGGGAGTCAATACAATCTCATACACCAGCACTAAAGGGCAACTATAACAGGACAATGCAAAAAGTCATTCTTGCTCAGTGTGCCTGCAAGGCTAGGGTGGCGCAATAGCAGGTAGGGTAGGTTAGTATGATAGTAGCAAGGGTAGGGCACACCTGCTCGTTGTTCTCGTTGCAGTAGCCAAGGAGGCGCACGAGGTTCTTGTGGCTCAACCTGGACACCGCCTTCACCTGCCAGACATGGTGGCATGGTGGCATAAATGCATGGTGGCATGGTGGCATAATGGCATAGGGGCACGGTGGCATGGTGGCATAGTGGGCTGGTTGCATAGTGGCATGTTGCATGATGGTGGTATCTGTCAAACGATAATTGTTATATGTTTGGTAGGCTAGGTTGCACATGCTGGAGCATATTATAGAGGGTACACGTCTTGTTGTTATAACCCTTTATGCCATTCTAGTTTTGTTGTTATAACCCTTTTGTAGTGATTCTGTTCAGTTCCACTTCTGGCTGATTGTCCTATCACCGTCTTTCTCAACTCTCGTAACATCACATTTGACGAGTTGGTCTCCTACTACGTCCTCTTCCCTTAACGAGGTGGCAGTCTCTCCCCACCTCTTGAGTTCCTCACTGCTGCTCCCCCTCCTGGTCCCGCCCCTCAAGTAGTCCCTGTCCCACCGCGTTTTGCCCCGTCCGGCCTGTCGCACGTCACCTCGCAGTCCCTTTTGTCACCATCCTTGTATTCACAGTCAGCGCAGCACCCTTTGTCGCAGCCGCTAGGTTTCAGGACGCAGCGGCCAATTATTGTGGACGCTGGAGGCGCTTGTGAGGGGGGTGCGGCTGCAGTAGGTGCTGGTTCAGGGGGTGCTGACGCTTGTGGTGTTGCCGGTGAGAGTACAACGGTTACGCCTACCCATATTCACTTTACCTTGCATTATCTTGCTTTTACATTTTCTTGTGCTTGTTTTCCTAATTTCGCTGCTTTACTGTAGTTATTATAGTTATAGGCAGCGAACATGTTACGTGCACTGAATTCTGTTTCATTTTGATCACGTGACTTTGCGTAACGCGTGACTCCACTGAGATGATTCTACCGAATTCGGGAAGGACCCGTTCGGGACGCTTCGCGACGTTCGAAACTTTCTCGTAACACCTGGTTAACTTGCTTTGTATCGTGCCTATATATAGCCTCATGTTGTACCCAGGTGATTGTTATCAAAATTTGAACTCGCATCTGCTCATGTCTGATTCACGCCTGGTGAACCCACTTACGCCACGTCTCGTGCACTCAATTACACCCGATCGACCCATTCACGCCTGATCGACCCATTCACGCCTAACCGAACCATCCATCCCTGATCCATTCGTGTTGTTTGTGCAACCACACGGCTATTGCTGCAACCTCATGCTTTGCACTCAGCTTGTTTGTTCTGAATGACATGATACATAATGAAGGTGTGTACAACGAAATTGCAAGCATTAGAGAATTTATGGTGTTAAATCGGACACTGATTAAAAAATGAATAATTTTTGGAGCACAACATAATAGCAAAAAAATGTTGATGAAAATGGTACCATAGCACCATGTGTATTCAACCGGTAAATGGCATTCAACACGTAAATGCCTGGGAACTCACTTACCCACTCCGCGGAAAACGGTTTCGGGAATCTTCATGATTGAGGACTTTGCATCATTTAGCTTCGGCAAGTAGGTCGGGCAAGCCATGGCATTCCTTCGGAGGTTCTCGACCCGATCTGACACGTACCAAATCCGGACTAGGATTTGCCAGCGGGTCGACCTGGCGCGGCCCGGCCCTAGGTAATGCCGACCTGTCCCGACCCCTGATTATGCCGGCCGACCCGACCCCGTTCGACCCCGTATAAGCCGGGTCGAGTCGGAGAAATCCTCAAGCCAACCACTTTGGATCGATCAGACCTGGTGTTCATGCGCGTGTAACATGGAACTATTCATCTTCTTCAGCCTTCACTCCTGTTGTTCTTAAGTCGCTCTTCTTGGCGACGGCTGGACCCACACGTAGCGTGTCTTGCGGTCATTCAGCAGGAGAGTTATTCATAACTCAAACTTCTTACGTTTTGACTAAGGTTTCTACGATGTTGCCATTTGTATAGCTAAAACATCATCGTCTTTTCATTATGTAATTGAGCACATCTAGATTTTGGGCCACCTCTCAAGATTTTAGTTTTTTTTCAAAACTTGACACGACCATTGTCCTTTCATGTGCTCAGCCCCCTCGCCCCATTATTGCGATCAACTGACTGACACCTTGCTACCCCGCCATACCCCTCCACCCCACACCACACCACACAGATATACACCTCACCGCATCACAACACTGACCTCCTCTTCAAACATTGTGGCGACGTTGGATGATCGCTCCACAACAGCTGCTCGCTTTATCGCCACCTCCATGCCACCCACCACATGCACACCTCCACCCGCCACATGCACGCCGCCGCCCACCCCAGGGGCACTGTCGCCCAACGGAGCAACAGAAGCAGTGCTCCCAATGCCCGCACTCCCCATACATGTCGCACTCTCAGCACTCGTCCCAATCCTCGCGTCCGCCATCCCAACCCCACCACTCGTGCCACTCCAACCCCTCGGGCCACTCTCCCCGCTCTTGCCGCTCTCGCCACTCTTGCTATTCGCCCCAACCTTGCCATCCCCCGCACCCATGCCGCTGTTTGCTGCTTTCCAGCTAGCCTCTGCCCGCTTCCACACCCCTGTGCTCCGCCCGCTCTGCTGGGACCCGCCTATGACTCCCAAATAGACGGAGCCAAAGCCGCCCTTGCCGAGAAGGTTGTCAGGGCTCAGCTGGTTGGTCGCCTCCATCACCTCCCTCCACGTGTACTTTCGAAATCCCTGCTTTAGATCCCTCTCCCACGCTGCCCAGGAGGGGGGGAGGAGGGGGTGGGGGGAGGTGGATGAAGGGCGGAAGGAAGAGGGGGGTGAGAGGGTGGGGGGGCACACAGGGCGGGGAAGAACAGTGGGTGGGAGGGAGGAGGAAAGGACGAGGGAGCAGAGATGGGGGGATGGAGACGGAGAGGATGGGGATGCACTCTTTGGAATATCTCTGGGCACAATGGTTCACCTCTGTTTTGTTTTACCGTGTTTAGTGCCAACCATATCTTAAGCAGCGCTCGTAATCTCTCCCACCCCACTCCCACTCCCACTCCCACTCCCACTCCCACTCTCACTCCCACTCCCACTCCCGCTCCCACCCCACTCCCATTCCCAACCCACTACACTCCCACCCCACCATTGACCTTCATTCACCATCGCACCCACTCTGCTCTCCACTCACCCTTGCGGCTCCCAGGTCCCCAGTAGTAATACCACACATAGAGCAGAACAAGCAGCACCACCAGCAGCACCACCACACTCCCCACCACCACGCCTGCTATGGCTGCTGGTGATAGCACTGGTAGGCGGTGGAGTTTGGGGAGGGTGGAGTGGATCGCAACAAGAGTGGTGTCAGTGGAGTGGGGATTCGAACTCGAGTGAGCGCAGTAGCTGCTGAGTCAAGCCAGGAAAAGTTGTTGTTGACCGAATTAGGGGTGAAAAGGGAGAGGAAATGAGTGGTCAATACGTGGATACAGAAATGAGTGGCAAGATGGTAGTTTGATTTGAACGAGGCAGCGATGTGGAGAGGAGAGGAGGTGATGTGGAGAGGAGAGGAGGTGGTGAGATGAGGAAGCAGTTACAGGATGGTGGTCGGCAGGGAGAGAGAGAGGGGGTTACAGGGTGGTTTGCATTGTTGGCAGAATTCGTTGCAGATGTTGGAGCAGAAGGGCAGGCCGGTTTGAAGGAATCCCGGGCAGCAGGAGTCGGCGGGGCGCGCGGGGCAGCGAAGCTTGGTGCCCAGGACAGAGCTGGTGCAAGTGGATAGGGGCGGCGGGGAGGGGTGGAGAGATATGGTTTGCGGGGTGGGAGGAGGGATGGGGAATGGTTGATGGTTGCTGGGAATTGGGACAGCAGGAGAGAGCATGTGTGAGCCTGGGCAGCTTGGTGCCCAGGAGAGAGCTGATGCGGATGGAAGGGGGGAGAGGGGGGGGGAGGGATATGGTTTTCGGGGTGGGAGGAGGGAGGGAGAATGGTTGATGATTGCTCGGGATTGGGGCAGCAGGAATCAATGGGACGTGTGGGACAGCGCAGCTTGGTTAGTGCTCAGGAGGGAGCTGATGTGGGTGGATAGGGGGACGGGGAGGGAGGGATGGGGGTGTGAAGAAGAGAAAGGGATGGGGGCATGGTGGGGAGAGAGGGGTAGGGGCGTGGGGGGGAGGGAAGGATGAGGAGATGAAGGTGAGGCTGAGAGGAGGGCAGGGAGGGGGGCAGGCGGAGGGAAAAGGTGAGGGCTGGGGGGAGGGCAGGGAGGAGGGCAGGCGGAGGGAAAAGGGGAGGGCTGAGGGGAGGGCGGGAGAGGGGGGGAGAGGGAGGGAGAGGGGGAGGCAGGGGAAGGGCAGCGAGAGGGCAGCGGGGGGACAGGTGGAGGGGCCAGGGGGGGAGCAAGGCATACAGAGTACCGAGGGGCTGAACGGCGGCTCACCAAGGCAACAAGGAAAAGTGCAGGAGCGAAAGAAGGGAGAGAGTAGAGAGAAAAGAGTGCCGAGGTGAAGAAAAGGGGACGCAGGAGTGTAGGAGGGGAAGGGGCGCAGAGAATGCCGAGGGACTGAATGGTGGCCCAGCAGGGGGAGGTTCAGGGGGAGGTGTGATGGGGAGGGTGGAAGGTGAGGGCCGAGGGGGCGTACAGAATGCCGAGGGACTGAATGGTGGCCCAGCAGGGCGGCAGCTTGCCCTCCAGCAGCGGATTTTGATAGGCCGAGCTGCATGGGGGTTGAGCAGGGGGGTGGCAGGCAGGCAGGAAGGCAGGCGGGAAAGGTATGGAAGGCAAAGAGGGTAGGCAGATCGAGCCAGGGAAGAGCAGATCGAGCCAGGGAAGAGCAGATCGAGCCAGGGAAGAGCAGATCGAGCCAGGGAAGAGCAGATCGAGCCAGGGAAGAGCAGATCGAGCCAGGGAAGAGCAGATCGAGCCAGGGAAGAGCGAAACGAGCCAGGGAAGAGCGAAACGAGCCAGGGAAGAGCGAAACGAGAGGTGGGGAGGATCTTAGAGTGTGGAAGGCAGGAGGGTAGAGGCAGGGAGAGAGGTAGATTGGGGGATGGAGAGGCAGGAGGAAAGGCAGGGCGTAGCTCATGGTTTGATGATTACAGTTGGTGCGATGGTTAGGTGCGATGGTTACAGTTGGTGCGATGGCTACAGTTGGTGCAATGGTTACAGTTAGTGCAACGGTTACAGTTGGTGAGATGGTTACAGTTCGCTGGGGCTAATGGGGTGGGATGGTTACAACAACTCAATGAGGTTGGATAGATGAACGCAAACTGAACTAACTGGTTTGGTTCGTTTCTTTGCTCATACCTAAATGGAATGAATAGTTAAACGAGGTTGGATAGACGAAATGGTTACAATTCAATGAGGTTTGGATGAATGAAACGGTTACAATTCAATGACGTCAGGATGAGTAAAACAGTTACAATCCAAAGAGGTCAGGAATTGGGATAAATGAAATGGTTACAATCCAGTGAGGTCGGGATAAATGAAACGGTTACAATCCAATGAGGTCGGGATGAGTATAACGGTTACAATCCAAAGAGGTCGGGAATCGGGATGAATGAAATGGTTACAATTAAAAAAGGCCGGGATGAATGAAATGGTTACAATTCAATAAGGTCGGTGAGCTGCCCCAGCGAGCTAGGGAGGTTCCCTGAGATGTTGTTGCGACTCAAGTGGCTGGCAAGGGTAGGGCAGTGCGTGAGCAGGAACGGGGGGAAAAAGAGACAGGGAAGAAGGGTGAGAGACTGGACGGGTGGGGAGATGAGTGAGCAATGGAGAGAAACGAGTTATGAAAACAAGGGTGAGTGTAGCAGGGAGAAGGGTGCATGTAACAGGGAGGGACAAGGTAAAGCAGTTGGGTTGCTTGCACTACTACAGACTCACAAGTACTGCAGACTCACATGCACTGCACACTCACATGCACTGCACACTCACAAGTACTGCACACTCACATGCACTGCACACTCACAAGTACTGCACACTCACAAGTACTGCACACTCACAAGTACTGCACACTCACAAGTACTGCAGGCTTTTCATGTTGCCCCACGAGTCAGGGATGGGACCCGACAGACCCATGTCTGCCAGATGGCTGATAGGGGGGGGGGGGGGGGAAATAAGAGAGTGAGAGAGCGGAGGGGAGGGGCACGGATGAGAGGGTGAGAGGGCGAGAGGGAAGAGGGGAGGAGGAGAGAACACGTGGGTGAGGCAGGCACACGTGTGGCATGCATGAGGCAGAGGCGTACAGGTGGGTGAGGAGGCGTACAGGTGGGTGAGGAGGCGTACAGGTAGGTGAGGAGGAGAACACGTGGGTGAGGAGGCGTACAGGTGGGTGAGGAGGTGTACAGGTGGGTGAGGATGCGTACAGGTGGGTGAGGAGGCGTACAGGTGGGTGAGGAGGCGTACAGGTGGGTGAGGTTCTTGAGTTGCGAGTAGGACTCTGGCAGCGACCCTTTCATGGGGTTCCCAAACAGCTTGCTGCGTGAGGGGGCATGGGGTGGTGTTGGGGTGAAGTGAAGTAGAGGCAGGCATTAGGGGGGGGATTAGAAGGCATAGCCATACATGGCATGGCATTACATGGCATGGCATTACATGGCATGGCATTACATGGCATGGCATTACATGGCATGGCATTACATGACATGGCATTACATGGCATGGCAGTACATGACATGGCATTCCATGGCATGGCATTACATAACATGGAATTACATGGCATGGCATTACATAACATGGCATTACATGGCATGGAATTACATAACACGGCATTACATGGCATGGCATTACATGGCATGGCATTACATAACATGGCATTACATGGCACGGCATTACATAACATGGCATTACATGGCATGGCATTACATAACATGGCATTACATGGCATGGCATTACATGGCATGGCATTACATAACATGGCATTACATGGCATGGCATTACATGGCATGGCATTACATAACATGGCATTACATGGCATGGCATTACATAACATGGCATTACATGGCATGGCATTACATAACATGGCATTACATGGCATGGAACCTGGACTGCCCAACAAGGTACGTGATGGGCAGCAGGCCTTCTCAACGGGTAAAGAAATCTTCAGCAAGGTGAGATTCGGGGAAATGATCATGGCGACATGGTAGTCTGTAGAACTTTGACCTGCCCTCACAGCTGCTGCCCTTGGTGCACTCACAGCCGGTGCACTCACGGCCGGTGCACTCACGGCCGGTGCACTCACAGCTGGTGCACTCACAGCTGCTGCCCTCACAGCTGCTGCACTCACAGCTGCTGCACTCACAGGTCGCTCAGTGGCAGGCAGCACACTCACAGCTCGCTCAGGTTGGCCATGCTACCAAAGAAGGCCGGCAGAGCGCCCGAGAAGGAGTTGTTGTTGGTGAATCTGCCATCCATAGCAAGCAGGGTACGACGTACAGAGAGTACTACTGTCTTTTCTTTGCTAAAAGTCTCTTCCTAACTGCCGGCAGAGCGCCCGAGAAGGAGTGGTTGTTGGCGCATCTGCCATCCATGGGGGATATGGTTGAAAGGCGTGCATATGGACAAGGGGAGGGAGGAGGGAGCAGGAGGGGAGTGGGGGAGCGAGTATGCATTTTCGTTTTAATGAGCTGAGGCGGTGCAGTGGAGATGGAAGGCAACTGGCAGGGGTAGGGAGGAACAAGTAGGAGCAAGTCTATAATCAGGAGGAATAAGGCAGTAACACAACTTTGATAGAAAACAATGCTCTGTTCTGAGCAAGACTTAAATCAGAAGCAAGAGTCAAAGCAGAAACGTTGGATATAATGTTAGGACTGAGGACGGTCGGGATCATGATTTATTGCTATGCTCGTTTCAACCAGGCATAACAGGCAGGATCAGCTGTTGAGGCGTGTGCAGCCTAGTGAAAGCCTTGGGTTGAGCTACTGCACAGGCAAGCCAAGGCTAATCTTCAATACACACACATGGGAACTTGACTTCTGTATGTGTTAAAACTGGCAGTGATTAAAAGAGTGAAAAGGGGTCGTAGCATGGGTAGCTAGCCTAGTACCCGAGTGAAGTGAAAAAGGGGCAGAAAGAGGGTTCGTATGATGGACTGAGAGACACGGGATTGAGAGGAATGAGTGGCGCAAGCGAGGTTGACAGGGAATGCTTTTGAGTCCAATCAAAAGTGACTTTTTGAGCGGCGTGAGCGAGGTTGAGAGGGCATAGTGAGTTACAAGAGGGTGAGTGCAGTGAGCTCTAAGAGACCAGGCGGGAAAGAGCCAGAGAACCGGTTGCGCTCCAATCGGCTGTCACATCACAACACACATGCATGCACGCCCCCACGCACAGCCACGCACCCAACGCCTCCGCACCTCCGCGCACACGCGCGCGCACGCCCACACACACATACAATCACACACGCACATGAAGGATACGAAGAAAGTTTCAGCATGAATGTGCATAAGACAATTCTTTAGGCCACTCAACAAGCTTCCATCCCTCCAGGACTTGGCAGCATAAGAGGTTCCTCCCTTGCATTGCACCTGCCCTTCCACCTGCCCTTCCACCTGCCCTTCTACCTGCCCTTCCACCTGCCCTTCCACATGCCCTTCCACCTGCCCTTCCACCTGCCCTTCCACCTGCCCTTCCACCTGCCCTTCCACCTGCCCTTCCACCTGCCCTTCCACCTGCCCTTCCACCTGCATTTCAACCTGCATTTCCACCTGCATTTCCACCTGCATTTCCACCTGCACTTCCACCGTGGACCCCCTTCACTAGGCATGCGCAAGAACCACTCGCCTCGTTGCCCGTGCCTACTTACCCGTCACATATTTTGAGAGTGGGTTCTTCGTCACAGCCCTGCCCAGCGCAGCGCAGCCCAGCCCTGCCCTGCCCGGCGCAGCGCAGCGTAGCGCAGGGCAGGGCAGCACAGCGCAGCACAGCACAGCACAGGGCAGCACAGCGCAGCACAGGGCAGCACAGCGCAGCACAGCACAGCGCAGCACAGCGCAGCGCAGCACAGCGCAGCGCAGCACAGCGCAGCACAGCGCAGCACAGCGCAGCGCAGCGTATGTCATCCGGGTCACAGCATTCGATGTGGGTAAGTCACGAGCAGCCATGATTGCAGGTGGGCCAAATCAAGAACAGCCCTCGCAGGAAGGACAAGCAGGACTCACAGGCTTTCAAGTTTGGAGAGGCGACTGAGGGAGTCAGGCAGAGGGCCGCGGAAGCGATTGGTGCTCAGCTTGCTGCCACGGCGGGGCGCAGTGAAGGTTAGTGAGGCGGGCAGAGGATGGCGGGGATGGGCGGGGGAGGGTGGGGAGGGGGCAGAGAGGAGAATGCTAGGTGTGTCAAAGTGGTTCAAACAAGGGGAGGTAAAGTAATGGAGAAGGAAAGGTGCTCCGGGTGCGTTGAGGGGAACACAGTACCAGTGTGACGCGAGTGCTGGAGACAGTGTGGGTGAGAGGAGGGAGGGAGTGCTCAGAGTATGAAGGGGGTGTGGGGATGAGGGGGGTGTGGAGAGTAGGGTGGGAAAATGAAGCGAGGGCAGAAGGAGATGGGCATGAAGGCAAGAAAGTGAGGGGGGTATGGTGCAAGCTGGGCAAGTGGGAGACGAGGGGCATGTGGGAGTGACGCGGGGCAAGTGGGAGTGACAAGGGGCGAGAGGGGGCGTACAGAGAGGTGAGGGCGGTGAGATTGCCGATGTCTTGTGAAAGCTGGCCCACTATCCTGAGCTTTGACACGGCACTGCCAGCACAAGCGGCACGAGCGGCACAAGTGGCAGGGAGTGGCAGGAGTGGCACAAGTGGCACAAGTGGGTACAATCACGTGTGACTCTATCACTCTGAATGTGTTTCAGAGAGACTTTGTTCTGTGCATGTGTATGAGTGCATGGGCATGAGTGCATAGGACATGTGCGGCCAGATGTTTGCAAGTGTGACGCTACTGCAGTGTTGCAAGTGTGACGCTACTGCATTGTTGCAAGTGTGACACTACTGCAGTGTTGCAAGTGTGACACAACTGCAGTGTTGCAAGTGTGACACTACTGCAGTGTTGCAAGTGTGACACTACTGCAGTGTTGCAAGTGTGACACTTCTGCAGTGTTGCAAGTGTGACACTACTGCAGTGTTGCAAGTGTGACACTACTGCAGTGTTGCAAGTGTGACACTACTGGGGTTTTGCAAGCTCACAGCGGAGGGAGTGGGCAGGGGAGAGCCAACCAGATGGGGTGACCAACACTGAAGTGCATCACATGGCATGGCATGACATGGCACCGCATGACAGGGCATGGCAAGGCATGGCACGGCATGGCATCGCATGGCATTGCATGGCATGGCATGTGTCGTGAATCTTCCTCTGTCCACCCTCATTCCCTTTCTCCCCTGTGTATCCTGCTGACTTCTCCTTCTCTCCTTCCTTCCCTGCCACCCGTACTGCTGATCAGGTTCATCCCTTCTTCCTCCTGGCGTATGTAATCACTCTGTCCTGCACTCCTCCTGGTACCTCAGGCTTCCCTGCCCCCTCCCGTGTCTCAGCGCCCATCTTTGCCGCTCGAGTCACGGGACCCACTGCCTGAGGCTTCCCTTGTCCCGCCCTGGCCACGTTGGTGATGTGTTCCTTGATGATTCCCCCTCGAATATCTTCCAGCACTAACACTCCCGAGCCTCGTATCTCTTTCACCTTCCACCGCTCCGATCCCACCGCTAAGTCCAGCGTGTCGCGCTTAGCTTTGCGAAGGTATACCTCCTGCCCTGCCTCCACCTTGTCACCCTTTCCCCCTATCCCTGATGCTTTACGCTGCTGGTATCGTCTTGCGTCACGCAGCTGCGCCACATGGAGGTTATCCAGAGCTGCCGGAGTCAGCTCCTTCAAATACTTTGCTCTCCTCTGTGCTAACTCCGCCCACAGGTCTGGCTCATCTGCCTCTATAACCGCAGAAAGCAGCTTCGGAGCATCGACCGGCAGCACAGGATCCCGCCCGAACAGTAAGTGGTATGGGGATAGGTTTCTCAGAGCCGCCTGCTTTGCGAACCTGTACCCCGCCAGCACCCACCAGAGATCTCGGTCCCAACTCCTTTTGTGGGACTCACTGTAGGCCCGTAGTCCTTTCTTCAAGGTCTGTATGAGCCTCTCGGTCAGTCCGTCTGATTGAGGATGGTACCTAGAGGTGACCCTGTGCGTGATACCCATCTCTTCCAGCAGCTCGTCGAAGCTCCCTTGAAATTCCGTCCCTTGATCAGTGAGTACCTCCCCGCATGCCCCATACCTGGTGAGCACCAGCTCCTCAAAAGCGTCAGCTATCAGTGCGCTGTTCTTGCTTGATAACGCTCGCGCCTCCACCCATTTACTCGTGTGCTCAACCATCACCAGAATGTACTGCTTCCCTCCTTTCGATAGTGGCAGCTCTCCCGCGAGGTCCAACGACCACCTGTAGCCCAACCCGCGAATTGGTAAAGAATGCAGCTCATCTCTCTCTTTCTCCAGCCTTGCTTTATTCCTCTGACATGCCTCGCAGCTCGCCACTAATCCTGCCACATCCTTTCCCATGCTCACCCACCAGTACATGGTGCTCAGCAGTTGCCGTGTTCTGGTTATGCCGAAGTGCCCCAGCTTCGCGTGCACATTCCCCATAATCTTGGCTCTCTCCTGTGGTTGTGGCACCACCTTCCACCCTTCGTTGGTTCTCAGCTGCAGCTGTTCCTGAAACCACCTGAAATGCTGCCCTCGGGCCCTGGCTCTCTCGCTCACTCCTTCCTCTTCTAGTGGCTCCCCTTTGATCCAGCTCAGGGTCTCCTCATCCTCCCATATATCCCCTAACCGCTTCTTTCCTTTCTCCTGCCCCCAGGGTACCGCCGCTACTTGAGCCAGGGCTGCCAGCTGCGCTACCGGCTGCATTGGTGGCGGATTCCTTGATAACCCATCTGCGTGCTGCAGCGTTTTCCCAGGCCGGTGTCGGATCTCAAAGTCGAATCCCAGCAGCTTAATGGCCCAGCGAGCGTTTCTTCCCGTCAGCTCCTGATGAGTCATCAACCATAGCAACGGCTGGTGATCAGTCACAAGTGTGAAGCGCCGACCCTGCAGGTACACCATGAAGTGAGTGATCCCCCATACAGCTGTCAGGCCCTCCCCCTCGTAAGAGCAGTAGTTAGCCTCGGATGGGCTGCAGCTGCGGCTGGCGAAGGCTACCACTCTCTCCTCTCCTTCTATCTCTTGGCAGAGCACTGCCCACATTCCTGTGCTGCTCCAGTCGGTGTATAAGATGAAAGGGGCATCTGCCCTCGGTATCTGCAGCAGCGTTCCCGTTCGTACTGCTTCTAACAGGTCCTGCCTTGCCGTTTCCTCCAGCTCTCCCCACTGCCAGCTCCTCCCTTCCTTCAGCAGCTGATTCAGTATGTAGGCTCGGCGGCTGAAGTTCGGTACGAACTTCCTGTAATAATTCAGGAAGCCGAGTAACGCTCGCAGCCCGGTCTTATCCTTTGGTGCTGCCAGGTTCTCCAGCACCTTAACTTTTGCTTCCTGTATCGCCAGCCGGCCCCCTTTCACTTCAAAGCCCAGGTAAGCCACGGTCTGCCTTGCTATCTTGCACTTGTTTGGATGGCACGTCAGACCCGCAGCTGCTATAGCCTCTAGCGTCTGCTTCAGATCTTGCACGTGCTGCTCTTCACTGCTGCTGAAAATCAGTATATCATCTATGTAGCAGGCTGCTGCTGGAATCCCCTTCAGCACCTGATCCATGGCCCGCTGGAACACTGCAGGGGCGTTGCGTATCCCGAAGGGCATCACATTGTACTCATACAGCCCATCCACCCCGTGAAACGCCGTTTTCCGTTTGTCTTCCTCCCTGATGGCTATCTGGTTGAACCCCTGTCGCAGGTCCAAGGTGGTGAAGATGATGGCGCCTTCTAAGCGATCAAAGATGTCTTCTGCTGTTGGCATGGGGTACCTGTCCGGGCTGGTAATCTTGTTCAGCTCCCGAAAATCTCCACACATCCTTTTCGCCAGCACTTTACCCGTGATATCCTTCCTGGCAGCTACCACTGTGGCTGCTGCGTAGCTTGACTCGGACGGGCGGATAATCCCTGCTGCTAGCAGCTCCTCACACTTCTCCTTGCAGATAGCCGCATCCTCTGCATTCATTCTCCTTCTTCGTTGGTAAGTGGGTATCTCTGTGGTAAGGTTTAGCTCCAGCTCTCTTCCCTTGTACCTCCCCAATTCCTGCAGGTTATAGGCGAAAGTGCTCCTGTGCTGGCGCAGCACCTCTCTGATTGCTTCCGCCGTCTGCTCCTTGATGTCCGTACCTAGCTTCCATTCCTTACCCTGCTCAGCTTCTTTGCCCCCTGCTAGTGCCGCAACATTCTCCTTTCCTCCCGTGCCCTGCTCAACAGCTGCATACGCCGCCTGCTTCTCTCCTTGTCCTTGCCTTTTTCCGGTCTCTCCTCCCTTATCAGCTGCCCCCTTCCTCATCTCTTTGATTAACCATCTCAGCGAGTGCTGGTCTATGGCTCTTCCTAAAGCTGCTCTGCGCATCCCTTCCTCTACCCCTTCTGCTGCGGTTGCTCCTGGCAGGTATCCCATGGCTAACTCCCGCTCCAAAGCCGTCGGTTCCTCCCACTTCTTCTTCCGGTGATCGTACACCATCCCTGGTCCTGGTATTCCGTCCACCTCGATGAAACCTTGTGCCCTGGTGTATGCCACTAATGTAGGCCATGCCCTGCGAGCTTCCCCCACCCGGTTGCACTGGTACTGCCGCGGATGATCTGGTTTTACCACTGGTGCCGCCACCCTCCCTGGTTCTAAAATATCCTCTACTATCCTGCTTTCGTCCCTCTCCACTCTTGCTAGTCTTGCCCTCAGTTCCCCGTCTGGCAAGACGTTTTGCCAGTACTGCCGCACCCTATGACAGCGTGCCCCCAACTGTGCCCCATCACAGCTCACTCCTCTCCCCAGTTCTGCCTCCACCAGCTCCCTTACTGCCCTGACCGGCTCGCGTACGCCATTCCTCATATCCACATGCTCCAGGATGTAAGCATATTCTCCATTCACTTCACTCGTCCACTTCATTATGGTGAGTAGCTTGGTCACCATCCCCGTGCGCTCGTCCTGTAAGCCTTTCCCCTTTCCGGCCCTAGAAGTACCCTGACACTCCCATCCCGCCACTAACAAATCCACTTTACCCCAGCTGCTCACGTCTTCTTTCGTGAGCTGCCCCACGTCCCATTTCTTGTTCTGCATGGCCTCCCGTAGTACTTCTTTCGTCAGCTGCGCGGGGTACTGCTGCTGTAACATTTGAGCATGCTTCCATGCCATTCTCCTCACCTCTGGGTCCAATTCTACGTATACCCACTTCTTCACCCTCAGGCCTGCTTCCAAGGCTGCTGCCAAGCCCGCTCCTATTCCCCCGAACAGCTCCACTAGTGTAATGCTATACTGATCCAGGTGAGCGCTGCCGTTGCTCTTCCCCACACTTCCTCCCCTCCTGCTGTTCTTCCTCACTCCTTCTGCTCTCCACGCCTTCTTGGGTTCTGTCTTAACAAACCGTACTGGTAGTTCACTCAGCTCCTTCCCTTCCTCCCAAAAGTCCGAACGGTAGAGCACCTGCTCCTGCCAGGTACAGATAGTGGTGCCTATCTTGAACAGCAGCTCCATTCCTAGTAGGATATCATAGTCTTCTGATTCTGTCAACCCACACTGCACTCTGATAGTGGTCTCCCCCTTCTCTCCCGGCTGTAAGGTTATCTCTATCAGGTCCCGTGTGCATGGCATCCACTTGGGGGCCCCTCCTTCTGCTGTCATGATCAGTATGCCCTTGCTTACAGTCTCTAGGTTCCCTTGCGCTCGCAGTTGTCCCGTCAGCTTCTTCCCGATTAGGACGCTCTGTGCTCCTGTATCCACTACCGCGTTTTCTACCAAGATTCCTCTGACCGCCACGGCTTTCGGTTCCACCACTAAGGCTGTGGGCTGACAGACTAGCCTTTCCTCGGGGTGACGCCGTGCGGTGCTGACTTTCCCTTGATTCTCCTGCCGCCTGGAAATTCTCCGCTCTTGTAATTTCTGCTCCGCTCTGCCATCTGCCCCTCCGCTGCGCAGCCCCAGGTCTCCCCTCTCCCTTGGCGGCATAGCCATGGTCCCGTATTCTGGTTCCCCTTCCTCAGAATCTTCCCCTTCGTCATCCCCCCAAGCCAGCAGAGCTTTCTCGGGGTCTTCACTGATCCCTGATTTCTCCATCTGAGCTTTCAGTTTCGCCAACTCTCGTTCTAACTGCAGCTCCCTTGCAGTTTTCCCTTTCGCCCTGTCTCCCTTGCTGTAGCATCTAGCTTCGGTATGGCCTTTCTTCCCACACCCCGTGCAGGTCGGCGCCTTGGGGCAATCACGCCTGAAATGTCCCTTTGCTCCACAGGTGTCGCAGATTATTCCCACCGTACAATCCCTCCGAAGATGTCCTTGCTCTCCACATTTATGGCAGCGTCTCGGGTCTTCCGATGGCCTCTCTTTCCGCTCTTCCTCTCCCCTTCTTCCTTCCGTAGCTGCCCAGGCCGGCTGTCTCCGCTCGTTCGGTCGGCTGGAACTCGACCCCTGCATGCCATCATAAAATCACTTCCCTTCCTCCACTTCTTTCGCCACCTTGTAGACTTGCCGCAGCGTGGCGCGTACTCCCAGGACGTACAGCTGACTCCTCATGTCGCCTATCAGGTCCTTGTCCAGACCGTTGACAAATTTCGTCACCAAGAGGCGCTCCTCCATACACCCCATGTCCTCTGCCAGCTCCAGCAGCCTGTTGTAATAGGCTAGCAGCGACTCCGAAGTGGCACGCACGAAGTTCTGAAATTCCGCCATCCGTTCCGCCGAGTGCCCCGGGAATTGCTCCTGCAAACTCTCCAGAAATCGGTCCGTTATCATTGCTGGTGAGAAATCGCCTCTCTTGCACTGCATCAACAGCCCCTGCCTTTCCACGCGGTAGTTAGTGAGTCAGGGCCTCGCCTTTCAGAGTCCGTCCCAAACCTCTAAAGAACTCGATAGGGTCTAAGCCCTCCCTCTCCCAAAGGTAACGCAGGTTGTCTATCATCATCAAGTAGTTCTTGAGCGTGGGCTCCTCCCCTGGTGTCCCCGAGAAACGGTCCGGCACTTCAATTTTCGGTAGAGCTGCGTTCATCGTGCGGCCCGTCCCCCAGCTCGTGTTCCCTCTATCCCCGCTGTCCACCAGCCGACCACCTTGCCTAGCTTCAGTAGCCTCGTATCCACCCGCCGAAAAGCTGTGGTACGCTTCTCCTCCTCTCTGACGGCGTCTTTCTTCGTGATGTTCATCTTCCCAGCGCTGACTGTGCCGTTCTTCCCGAAACTCTTCTCTTCCTTGAGCAGGATTATCCCCTCGAGATCCACTCCTCACATGGCCGATTCCACTCCCGCCAGCGACTGATCCACCAGTAGCGCTAGGCGGCGGCTCCCCTTGTCGGTCGGCCTCCCTCTCTCGATCTGATCCCTGACCCCCGCGCGCGTTAGCATTGCCCTCTTCAGCACGGAATCCAGGTGTCCTGATTGGTAGGCCTTGTCCCTCCATCATCCTTGCAGGGAAACGGAGTCCCGAGCGCAGCTGATGAGTGTGCAGTTCCTGATCGTGCCTACTCATTCCTCACGGCGCATCACCGTGAGCGACTCGAGGCTACTAGCTTATCTCCTGTACTTAAGACAGTCAACAACCTTTTTGCTTGTATGTAGCAAGCGTAACACTACCCCTCAGGGGCTCCGTCAAATTGCTTATAGCTTCTCCTAATGCTAGTTCCCTCTGGATTAGGAAAACAAATTGCAGTAAATGAGAAACATACAAGCAAAAAGCAAGAAGCCCGAGTGCTACTCCTGCCTACATCTATTCCCACCCCCTGCCTAGGTTGCTTCCTCCACAAGCAAGCTCCTGTGCACCAAGCGAGTCAGCCGGGCTGCTCGCGAGGTCTCCAAGGTGCTAGCTGTGTTCCCACTGGGCCCACTAGGCATGCACTGCCTTCCAGCCTGGTGACTTGGAATTCAATTCCCAGGCTGGCATTGAATTCGCCTTCCAGCCTTGTGACTTCGAAATTGAATTCACAGGCTGGAATTGAATTCGTCTCCACCAACCTCCTTGAATTCGCCTCCCACTAACCACCTCAAATTCCCCAGCTACTCGGCTCTGCAGTACAGTACAATACACTCCAAGCACACAAATGAAATTAGAGTACAAAAGCGGTAAACTATAGTACACCCTCACCTTGGCTGCTGTGGTATTCACACTTAGTTGCCAGCTAAGTGTTAATAACGCGACACATGGCTTGGCGGCATTGCATGGCATGGCATGGCTTGGCATTGCATGGCATGGAATGGCTTCGCATTGCATGGCATGGCATGGCGCAACAGCACGCATTGACTCTATACCACGTATGATGTGGTATGCCATGGCATTGCATGGGATGGGAATGCATCGTGTGCCATCGCATGACATTTGCGTGGTGAGGCGTGGCAAGTGATGGCACAGCAGGCACGCACAGTGAAACAACGTCGCCATCAGCGGAGCAGTTGATGCGCAGGTGCTTTCCCTTGAGCGAGCACACATCGCTCGTTTCCCTCCACGGCCTGAACGGCTTCTCAGGCTTCCAGTGCTGCACCAAACGCGCCAGCACTGCGTGCAGCGAAGGGGGACGGGCGAGGGCGGAAGGGGGTTATGACTGACAGTGCCCATGAGTTTGAGACGTCTCAAAACTCGAAGGGAATTATGACTGACAGTGCCCATGCCTCGCCAGCTGCCTGTGCTGCACCAGACGCGCCACCACTGGGTGGGGCGGGTGGAGGGGGGACGGGCGAGGACGTAGGAGGGAGGGGGGACAGGCGAGGGCGTAGGAGGGAGGGGGGACGGGTGAGGGCGTAGGAGGGAAGGGGGACGGGCGAGGGCGTAGGAGGGAGGGGGGACGGGTGAGGGCGTAGGAGGGAGGGGGGACGGGTGAGGGCGTAGGAGGGAGGGGGTACGGGTGAGGGCGTAGGAGGGATGGAGAGATCAGTGTCTATGGGGTTGCAGGACAAGGCGGGAGAAGGCAGGTATGAGAGATGTCTGACAGGGGGCAGGAGGATGTCCGACAGGGGGCAGGAGGATGTCCGACAGGGGGCAGGAGGATGTCCGGCAGGGGGCAGGAGGATGTCCGGCAGGGGGCAGGAGGATGTCCGGCAGGGGGCAGGAGGATGTCCGGCAGGGGGCAGGAGGATGTCCGATAGGGGGCAGGAGGATGTCCGATAGGGGGCAGGAGGATGTCCGATAGGGGGCAGGAGGATGTCCGATAGGGGGCAGGAGGATGTCTGATAGGGGGCAGGAGGATGTCCGGCGCCGCACAGCTCAACACCGCATTTCCTTCTAGCCACTCTCATTTCCTCCCATCCTACCCCTTTCCGGCACATTCCTTTCCTTTCCCTCCCATTGTTGTGGTCGTGCCGACTTAGACCCATCCCTTTCTCCCATTACCTCCCATCACCCCCCCCCTTTCCCCCATTCCTGCGCATTAACCTCTCATTCCCCCCCATTCCCCTCCTATTCCCCCCCATTCTCCTCCCATTCCACCCATTCCCCTCCATTCCCCCCCATTCCTCCCCATTCCCCTCCATTCCCCTAATTCTCCTCCCACTCCCCCCCACTCTCCTCTCCTCCCCCCCCATTCCCCTCCCATTTCCCACCCATATCCCGCTCTGCCACTGACGGCCGCTGCCGCCCATCTGCCATACTCGGCCGCCTAACCGCCGACTGGTAACTGCCAGGCGCAGCACCAACGTTCCCCCGGGCCGCATGACCTCTACAGCAGCATTTCTCTCACAACCTCCGCTCTCCTCTTGTCTCTCCCCCACCCACCTCCTCTCATCACACCTTGAGTGGCGGCGGTTTTTTGCGGGGTGGGCGCCGCGGGGGAAACTGTTGGCGGCGCCGCCACGGGTGGGGCTAGCGGCGCCGCCGCCGCGGGGGGGGCTGCTGGCGGCGTGGGGGAGCCCCGGCACGGCGGGCACAGCAGCAGCGCAAGCAGCACGACGAGCGAAAGGCGCGCGAGGCGGTCGAGGGGCGGCGGCGCAGGGAACGCGAGGCGCGCGGGGAGCACACAAGGGGTGCTGCGGACGATAAGGGGGAGGTGTTGCCGTCCGTCCCGTGAAATTCGCTCAACGCGCCGCGCTGCCGGTCGCAGAGCCGCGCTGCGGCTACGTGGACCGGGGGCTGCGCGGCGGCGCCCGCGCGTGTGCTCTGGCGACGGTTCTCGCCAGCCTAGGCTGCTGCCATGGTAATTGCTGAATTTCATGCTAAGGCGAGGTACTGTAACACCCCGCGCTCTCTTTACTACCACTGCGTGTGACAATATCGAAGATGAACCAGAGCTCGCGCTGCGAATGTAGTACCAATAGTAACGGGCGGCGATCTACGTTTCGGACTGCATGGAAACATAATTCGAAAAAGAAACCTTCTAGCTCGTGCCTGGCAGGAGGTGGCTTGTCCATATCGCGGCACAGCAGCCCAAGGTGCGTCATTGCACGATGATGCAATGCTGTGAGTCTGCGACGCGCCCGCTAGTAATCTGCCGACTGCGCTGCGGTCACTGACTGTGAAGGGTGTGGGTCTGATGCTCGATACTCAGCTTTGTTTGTGCGGTTTTATGCGTTGACGTGTGGTTTCGTGCTGTGAGTTGCAATGAAATGCTGCCAGTCACAATTATGGAGTCAAACCACGCGTTTCAAGCGTGTGGTATTATGTATTGATGAAAGGGCGAGGTCTGGTCTTTGAAACAGGCTCGCCTAGGTTCTTCCGAAGCTAACCCTGCCTGGTGAAAGCAGCGAAGTCTAGGGTGGTTTGGAGCAGCTGCGGTCTCAGCTGCCGTTGCCCATGTAGGCGTGGTTTGGTGAGGGTAGGGCGTGTCCAGCGCGTACACTTTGGAGTTTTTACAAACAATATACGTATATGGTATCATGTATCGAAATGGTACTGCCAGGTCTTCCCTCAAATTTTGGTGTCCAGGGGGGACACAACCCGCCACTCAGCACAAGCCTGACAGCAGATGTACGACAGTGGCGACAGCACAGTTATGTAACCAGAATATCGTCAGCTCGATTCTCGCAAACGACAACGTCGCGTGACGTGGAAATCGAAAGTGCACATTGATTTTTTGGCGAAAATTCTCTCGCGAAATACAAGGTAAACTTCGCTAAGTCCGGCACTGTAGCATTTCAGACGTGTACACGTCGGAATGAGGCAGCTGTTACGTGCGTTGTGCGTCATTTTCACGATTCGGCAGACGTGTGGGCTGTGTCCGTATTACATCTTGGGGTGTGCGAGTCCAGAAAATATGTGAAATAGAGGTTACATTCGAGAAATGTGGTAACTGTAGCGGCAAGTGAGCTGTAAATGTACGCGCTGGACACGAACTCAGGATGATAGGGGTTCTATACAAGAGAGTCCGTTGAAATCAACAACGTTTTCCTGAAAGAGACATTTTGAACATCTTATACTACACCAGCCCTTCATCTTTCTTGGCCGTTACATAGTCCTAGTGTTCGATCGGATCCGGCCCTCAAAAGTCAGCAAAAATTCGCTGATTTGCAAAAAAAAACTGACATTTCATTATTTTTTCGATCGGATGCTAAAATTCAGTTGTGGTTTATATTTTTTATGTACATAGTAACCTTCGAAACCTCTGCAATCGTTCTAAAGCTTACGCTGATTTTTCAGCCTTTTTTCCTACCATCAGCGTTTTAGTGGGGACCTGCGCTGAATTTGACTATACATGGTTTGCGCAGTTTGCCATGACTGGAGTTACAGTCGCGTCTTGTCAATCACACTACCAGTACAGTATCAATACCGTAGTCAAAACTGTTAGGCCCCTTTTCCTAAATCCGCTAAAGATTAGCGGGGTCGACTAAGTCGAGGATGAAACGCGGCGGATGACTTTGGTGAAAGAAGCACTAGCGAAATATGCGAAGAAGTAAATGAGTAATGGTTGAATGATAATTGGTTGATAATGGCAATCACAATGTTGATATAGCATGCAAGAGCGAATGTCGGAAAGTAGTTCGTGGGACTAGAAAGTAGAAGGCAAGAAAAGTAGAGTGCCACGTGGCACAAGGAAATCTAGGAAATCTAGGAAATCTTGGATGAGTTGGATGAAGTTAAGGTTGGGATGAGGTTGGGGGCACTGTTTAGGGTAAACCACCAGTGAATAGTAAACTACCCCGTAACACTACCCCCTCCCAAGGAGGCGACGTCAGCGGCGCCTGCAGACTGAAGGTACGCTTGAAGGCAAGCGTTGTCGGGAGACAGCGAGGACGAAGAAACCCAGCTGTCGTCGGCTCCATCGTAACCACGCCAACACACCAATAAGTCGATGAAAGAGACACCCCCCTGGAGACGGCGACGGTGACTGAGGATGCGCTGGATTTGGTAGTTGGGCTCGTCGATGCCAACAGCTACCGGTAGTGGAATGCGATCGCAGCCCGAGAAGGTGGCGTTGGGGTCGGTTTATAAACGAAGGAGAGACACGTGGAATAATGGGTGCATGCGGAAATGAGCGGGAAGATGAAGGCGGTTTGCGACTGGACCTAGTGCGCGCTCAATGACGAATGGACCAATCAAACATGGACGAAGCTTGCTGTCCTGTGGCAGTCGGAGGTAGTGGCTATCCAAAAGGACACGGCCGCCAACTGCAAACGACACCTCACGACGACTGCGGTTGGTGATGCGTGCCATGCGTGCATTTGCGAGCTCAAGGTGTCAAATGTCATATCTGCTACAGTTTGTTCAGGCTGTAGTGGGGTAGTTACTATGGGGTACAGTAAGTTTAGGGTTTCCTACTTGTACCCAACTCTTTCCTAGTTCAATCACCCTTGTTGATTCTGACATGGTATCACGAGCCTAGGTTGCCACCTAGGACCGCTTACTACTACGTGCCCACTATTCCGCTAGAAGCCCCCTCGTGCGCCCTACCTTACGTGCGCCCTCGTGCGCCTTTCTCTGCTCGTGCGCCTTTTATCTGCTAGTGCGCCCTCGCGCGCCTCGCCCTTCGTTCTGCCTGCGCGCCGTCCTGCAGCCCTCGCGCTGCCTCTTGCTGCCCTAGGCCAGTGCGCCGCCCCTGCAGGCTAGTAAGGCCCTCGAGCCGCCCCTGCAGGCCCGTCAGGCCCCCGAGCCGCCTCTGCAGGCCCGTCAGGCCCCCGAGCCGCCCCTGCAGGCCCTCGCCGCCCGCGCGCAGCCTCTGCCCGACCGCGCGCCGCCCCTGCAGGCCCTCGCCGCCCGCACGCAGCCTCTGCAGGCCCGTCAGGCCAGCGCGCGACCCCGTCAGGTCGCTGTCGCGGCCCCGTAAGGCCGCAGTCGCGGCCTCGCCTTGTCGCTGACGCGGCCCCACCCTGCAACGGTCGCGGCCCCGCCCTGCCGGCGACGCGGACGCGGCCCCGCCCTGCCGTGAAGCGGCCCCGCCAGCCCTGCAGCTGACGCGGCCGCGCCCTTCTGCTGACGCGGCCGCGCCCTGCTACTGACGCAGCCGCGCCCTGCTACTGACGCGGCCACGCCCAGCTGCTGACGCGTCGTCGCCCCCTGCCAGCCGCGTCGCCCTGCCCGCCACGTCGCCCTGCCCGCCGCGTCGCCCTGCCCGCCGCGTCGGCCCCTGCCCGCGGCGTCGCCCTGCCCGCCGCGTCGGCCCCTGCCCGCGGCGTCGCCCCTGCCCGCCGCGTCGCCCTGCCCTACCCCGCGCCTGGCCCCTGGAGCAGCCGCCCCTGGAGCAGCCGCCACTGCAGCAGCCGCCCCTGGCCCTTGGAGCAGCCGCACCTGCAGCCGCCCCTGGCCCTTGGAGCGGCCGCCCCTGCAGCAGCCGCCCCTGGCCACTGGAGCAGCCGCCACTGCAGGAGCCGCCCCTGGCCTCTAGAGCAGCCGCCCCTGGAGCAGCCGCCCCTGGAGCAGCCGCCACTGCACCAGCCGCCCCTGGCCCTTGGAGCAGCCGCCCCTGCAGCAGCTGCCGTCGCGTCCCGCCCTGCAGCAACAGCCGCGGAGCTCCCTGCCGCGGTCGCGGCCCCGCCCTGCCGCTGTAGCGGCCCCGCAGTCGCCTCCGTCGTGCGCCTGCCCTTCCCACCACTGGTGAGCACTGCCCTGCCCGTGCTGCTACTGCGGTTACTGCTGCTGCTACTGCTACTGCTGCTCCTGGTGCTACTGCTTCTACTGCTGCTCCTGGCGTGGCCAGATGCAGCTCCAGGGCCGTCCGCGTGTGTCCCTCACGCCCCAGCAGCTTCGTGAGTGGTACGTCAGTTGGGGTTGTCGGGGTGGCAGTAGTGGGAGTCGTCCTGGAGTGGGTAGTTCGGGAGTTTCTTGTAGTGGCCCGGTGCAGCAGCAGCGTCGTCTGTGCGAGACTCGTTCGCCCCAGCAGCTTCGTGAGTGGTACGCTCAGAGTAGAGGGTCGCTGAGTACTGCTCGCTGCTCGTACGTTGTTAGCACGGATGTCCGGACTGGTCAGCCTTGCGGGACGCCTGGTCACACAGAGTCTCGCAGCTTCGCCAGTCTGAGTGACGCTTGGCGTACAGAGTTTGGCGACGACGCTGAGCTCCCCGACTGGGTGGAGCTGCTTAGGCAGAGGGTAGATATCTTTGCTCTTGACTATGATGCTATTCTCACTGCAATGTATGCATTGTCTACTAGTGCCGAGGGAGCCTGTCACCTGTGTGTGCCGCCTGACCCTGGTATCCAGTCTGCTGCTCCAGGTGCAGGCGAGGCTGCTGCTCTAGGCGCTCGTGAGTCTGCTGCTTCAGGTGCTTGTGAGTCTGCGCCTTCAGGTACTACGTCTACTGAGGCACTGCACACCTTCACACTGGACTCGGGTGCTTCCCGCTGTTTCTTTCGCGACCGCACTGCCCTAGAGCAGCTCCCTAGACCGGTTGCTGTCTCCCTGGCTGACCCCTCCGAGGGTCCGGTCCTTGCGACCTCCACCACTGCCCTCCCTTGTCCTGCTGTCCCGTCCGGCACATTGTCGGGCCTTTACCTCCCCTCGTTCTCTACGAACTTGGTGGCGGGTTCTGCGCTCCAGGACGCGGGTGTTCACCAGTTCACCCTTGCCTACGAGCGTGTGACGCACTGCACGTGTGCCCAGACGGGTCGTCACCTGGCTACCTTCACTCGGCCAGTCGGGGTCGGACTTGTACACACTGACCACTGAGTCCCCTCAGGTAGCTGCGTCTGCGCCTGCGTCAAGTCGGCTGTCGGCCCCCTGCTCGTGTCTCTCCCTGTCACACCGGACTGTCCTCTGGCACCACCGCCTTGGTCACCCGTCAGTGC